GCAATAGTTAAAGAAATAAGGCAGACAGAAGGACGCAGAGCAGCAGCTGTGTGTGGGAGGATCAGAGTAGTAAGCAGAGATGGAGGACTTCTGAGAAGGAGTGAAGCTTTGATGGACAAGGGAGACTCAAATGTTTGTAAAGGTTTGCTGATCTGACCACGTCTGTGCACATAACATTGTACTGCATTGTGCTTGGTATCTACCTAACCTCTATTAGTGCATGTGTGAGTGTGCATGTGCATGTGTTTGTGTAGTAGTAGAAAAGAAAGAATGCAATCTGCCTGCTCGGCAGTTTTGAATGGCCGAGGCTTAATGAGATTTTTTTGGATAAATAAGTTGGGACAATTGAACCCTTGTGTGGGCATTGTTAGAGTCTCACACACATACACACACATACACACACACTGTGCCTCTGACAATAAGCAAACATACTGTGTCTGATTGGTTCAACAATCATAACAACAAAACACAGAGGGGAATTCATTTCTTTAGCCACTGAAATATAGGTTTTGAGGCAATCAAAAGACCAGATGCCATTATTGCATTAATATTGAATATTGTTTAACATTTAAAATGAATCTGGCTGTGAATTACACATACACACATTGCATTCAGTCCATCTCAAAGAAAGGGAAGAGAAGTTTGACAAAGCATTGACAACTCAAGCTCCAGTTCATCTCTTTTTCTGGAGATTTCAATTGTATCAGTATTGAAAAACTACATAACAGCTTCTGATGAAACAAGGACACCAGTGTGATAAGGTTATAAGCTGCACATCTAGATAGTGGGCAGTTAGAAGTAAGTAAAAGAACCTTGAGGGTGGGATTGTTTGGTTTTCTAACTTCTTTTTCTAAGTTCTGGAGCATACTTCTGTCCAAGGTTAATCAAATCAGACTGCAGTATGTAACCTCTGTATCCTATGGATTAAGGAACTAAAATGATGAGGTAAAGGGTAAAGCAAGTCCAGATGCCCTTCATGCTTGCAGACGCAGAGAAACAATCATTAACATTTTCCTGAAGGTGAAAACTAAAACATGCTCTATTTCACTGCTGCAATAGCTCTCGTTGATGCCAATTCCAGAGGTCCTTCCTGTAAGGTTATTACTGTTCAGTCAATCAGTACAGGTGGTCAGAGTCACCCTGGGTTTACTCTGGTTGGCTAGGCCAATGTACCCAGCTGTAGATTAGTGATGGTTGAGCACCTAGTGAAGCGAGAAGATGTGGTGAGAAACCCAGATCTCTCCTGCAGCCAGAGTCATGACACAACCTAGATATTTCATTCTTCAGAGAATTGCACATGCTGTTTTTACAAAACGTTTCAAATTATGTATGTAGGCGAATATATGCATAAGGTAGCAAAGCAGGAAGTATGACCTTGTACTGCTGCTACAAGTCACAGAAAAGGCGGTTTGGTTGGGTGGTTGTCAATAGTATTTGACTTTCCCAGCAGAGATGATGCTTTGCGTCCTGTCCAGTGGATCACATGAGTACTTGCATTTTATTTAATTTCTTCAAAGTGTCTTTAGCACATTGTTTTGGTTTCCAACATGCAATCTTACTCTATCTGTTGGAACTTTGAGGCCATGTTTCTAGCTGCAGCAGGAGGAAGGTTTTTTGGTCAGGTGAGCAAGATAGCTAAAAAAGTTAGCGATTAGCTTGTGAATATAGAAGAGTATTAATCAGCTGAAAAGCCTCATATTTCCCTCAGGAGCTGGAATGAGATCTTACTCATAAGATGGAAAGAAGCATTAGTCTTAATGAATGTCGATACACTTTATTAGGTGGATATGTGCAACTGTTTGCTAAGAAGTTCGCCTATAGTGACTTATTGTGACCAAATGGGGGCACCCTGATAGATCACAGGCCCCGTTCACAGAGGCAGAGTCGTCACTGAAGGGTCACAAATTCGACTTCAAAATGCGACACAAAATGCAAATAATAATAACAAGTATTTTTCAGCCATTGTGCCTGCTGAAAAAAATCTGTACTTCAGATCTAATCCGGCAGTTGAAGTTGTCTAAAGTTTAAAAAAGAAAGGAATAGTAGCATTCAATGATACATTACAGATTTTCTAACAGTGTTAGGATTGTCTTTAAGTCACCTGAAGTACTTATCAAGTTTCTCTCTTATCAGTATATCCTGACATTAAACATTACTTTCACTCTATATTTGTCTGTATTTTCTTCTCCTCTCTCCCCCATCTGTATTCCTTTGCTGTTGTATACGTGGTCAGTCCTTCGGAGGCAGTATGACGCAAGTGTGTGTTGTCTGTGAGAAACTGATGGAATCAGAGCATGTCCCTGGGCTCGTACCCACACAGTGACACGGAGATATGACTAGATGCTTCTTTGCATCCCATATTTAGAACAAATGCCTCTTGGCTTCCGCCGTCTGACAGGGTTAAATTGCTTTAACCCTTCTCAAAGTCAAAATTATTCATCGCCCGGATCGCTTTTCCTTCAAATGTGTTTTATCTGTGGGCGATGTGTCGTGAAGCAGGCGATGGTGTTGTCGCTGCATTTCTGGGATGAGTTCCAATCAGTTCAAGTGTCTTATTAAGAATGGTTAATTAACTGTATGTATTAAGTTATTTTCTAGTCTAATGACCACTCAAAACACTGTTTCACTACATGTCACATTGACTCATTCACACACAAATTCACACACTGATGTCAGAGGAGGCTATGTTAAGTCGCAGTATTAATTAATCCTGTTCATATACATTCACACGCAGCTGGCTACGCCATCGGGGGCAATTTTGGGTTCAGTGCTATGCCAATTGAAAGTTTGACATACTGACTGCAGGAGCTGGGATTGAACTTCTAACCTCAGCTATGGCTCAGTTGTTAGAGTTGTCGTCTCTGAACCGGAAGGTCGAGGGTTTCGATCCCCAGGCTCCTGCAGCAACATGTCCCATGTGTCCTTGGGCAAGACACTTAATCCATGCGATGTAAAAGCGCTTTGAGTAGTCAGAAGACTAGAAAAGCTCTATATGAGCTCAAGTCCATTTACCATTTACCATTTAACCTTCAGGTTAAGAGAAGACTGACTCTACCAATGAGCCACAGCCGCCCAACATGACGTGATATGGCCAGACATTGAAAACTGCATTTGTTCTGTATGCTGTTGCTATAGAAGCTATCAGATAAAGAGTCAAAGTTAATATCCCATGCATGTTGTCAGCAAGCGATACAATAATACTCCACTGGATGTCTAAAAACAGAATTTAAAGGCCATGTTTTTTTTATCAAACAAGGGTCATCAAGTGGCAAAATCCAGCCATTGTCTTGGCTCGGTAAATGCTGGAGGATAATCTCAGCTTTCTGTGTTAGGAGGACTTGAGCTTTTTGTTGATACAAAAGCTGCTAAATGTCAACCACATACACACTCACTTTACTAATGTGAACAACAGTCAGGCAATGAACAGACTATTCATCCCATTGCATATAATCACTGTTATTTAAAGAAAAAGGGGACAAAAGAGTCGGTCTAGTGTTTCTATAGGTTAACAGAAGCAGTCTACAAAGGCAGTGGGGCTTCAGGATGACAATGGAAAACCTTTTTAAATGTCTGACTGCAGTCCAATGTGGCACTTTTTTAAATCACATTAGACTTAATAGTTTCAAAATATCATGTTTGACTGGAAGATACCAGATTGGAGGTTAAGGGGGAACTCTGCCTGCTCACATGAGCACTTCAGCTGAAGGACATGTTAGCTCATTTCACTGTTTTCAAATGGAAGGAAACTATGCAAAGTGTAGCAGAATAACAGCCTTATTTCAAAATGTAAATATACTATTGACTGCTTCGGCATATTTATTTTTACCTTTTCGTTTAATTTTTTAAAATCTGCACCAAGAAAACAGTCAGGAAAAAAACATGATAGTAAAAGCAGAAAAACAGAAGAATATGCATGGTTAATGTTGGCTTCTTTACCTTGATGGTACTTACTGAGAATAAATCCTGTGGAATACAACACCTAAAGTGAGAAAAAAAAAGATGAAAACCATGGAAAATGTATTTTTAGAAGCACTGAGGCCGCTGAAGGGAAATGATGTCAAACACTAGTTTGTGTCAAGATGTGATTAAATGTAACGATATATATTTTTGGCATGTCTAGAGAGGAGAGAAGAGGGGGAGATAGCAGCAGGCAGAGCAGATATGGAGCAGGTAGATGTAAAAAGGAGCGAGCAGGTTCCCACCTGTGCATGTTTTGAATTGAAAAGACTGAAACTGCCTCAGTGGCTCACATTACGACATGGTTTGATTAGAGAAGACAAGCATGCAAGGATTTTAACATGTTTTTTTTTTAAATCCATGTACTCCTGAGTGAGATGGAAATACATCGCTCCTACAAAAAACAACACAAAGTACCCTATACATGCATGCACAGACTGAGTATGGCTGCTTCACCTCCAAATGCTGTATGTGTCAAGCTTTATCCGGTTAGCCACACAGGACTAACTCGGCCATGCCAACTTAGATCTGAGGCTGTGTGCAGTAGATTCAAAATGCAGCCGGTGGACTGTCCCAGACTCACTGCACTGACATGTAGACTCCATCGCACTCCATTACACCTGCAGCCGAAGGCGAAGGTGGATGACACGGGAAGAGGAGGAGGAAGAGAGAGTGTGACAGAGAAGGAGTGGAAATAGAGGAAGTGAAAAGCAGAAAAAGAGTGACAGGGACAGAAAGAAAATCATTTTTCAGAAAGGCCTCGAGTATGAGACATTGTCATACAGTGTTTATTCAGACTCGACAGACAGCTGCTCTAGTTTTAAACGGTGAGTCGCTAATAGTGAAGCTATTCCTCGGTCGAGTTTTCAGGATTGGTGACAAAGAAATGGCATTCTGGTAGACGTTAGAGTACCTGCGCTGTTTCAGCACTGTTACATCTGGATCTCTTTTTGCTCCTCTCCTGCTCAGCTATCATGCTAGGATATATTCCAATAAATATTGCCAACCTAATGTTTTGTCATTTCCTTTTTTGTCTTTCTTAGATTTGTTTTGTAAACCGTGACCCTCAGAAAACGGACTATCGTGATGAGAAAAGCATTAAGGTGAGCACAATCCTCATCCATTCTTTTCCAACTTTACAAGCCCCCTTTCTTTCAGACCACTTTTCACCCTCTATGAACTCTTTTTTTCACCGTATTCATGTATTAACATTGACTCACTTAACATTGCATCAAAATCGGTTACCAGACATGGCTGTTTGCTTTAGTTTAGTTTATTTGCAGATTTAGCCATCAGCAGTGGCAGTAATTAACAGTTAAAAAGCGTTTTGTGTGGCTCAAGCCTTCTCACAGAAAGGATTTTGTGTCTGCATGTATCTCAATTGGAACAACAGAGAACACATGTTCAGTTTTTAGGTTACCCAAAGAAAATCTCTTTTTTTTTTAAATCATTGAGCATTGTGTCCCTATGCTTGGCATGTCTCCTGCAGAAATTGGCATCAGTGTCTCCAGAGCTGCCAAAGCTTGTTGAATTACTGACTGTCCACCTGCCGAAAGAAAATGAGATCCTACTGCTTGGTGGCCTAGATGCATCAGACTCTTGCCAAACACACCCACACTCCCCCTCTCAGGTGAGTTTGCAGTGATGTCCTCTAAACCTTGCAAGGCTTTTCTGCCTTTGAATGAACTGGCCCGGAGTGTGAGGCAGCGAGTGCAAGCTGTTCTTTTGTACCACAATTTTGTGTGATTAGATTTGAACTTTTTGTGCTAGAAAAGAAATCCACTGTAGGATTTACAAACCTCCCCTCGTCTCCTGAGGCAAATAAACACGCGTCAGACAAACCCACGTTAGTAATTGAGAATATAGCACTCCTAATTACTGAGAAAAACATGGCTTGTCATTATTTCTTCATAACAGCAATTGCTCTGCCATCCGAGCAATGCTGAAGAGTTCTGTTATTGTGCTTTTCAATCTCTTTAAATTGGCTTCAATTTGTGCTTTTTAGAAATCCAATACTTGTTTTTAAACTATTGGTTCAGCCTGCAGAGCCCATAAGGTACAGATGAGCTGAGATGTCTGTTAGTAATAAGTCATAAGTCCTCCCCCAACCAAAGGTTTAAGTCATACACCTGGCCATGGGTGTGTGATAAATCATTCAATCAATCTTTATTTGTATAGCACCAATTCATAACACGTTATCTCAAGACTCTTCACAAAAAACAGGTAAAAGACCTTACTCACTGCTATATTACAAAGGCCCAATATGATTAAGACTGTGGTTCACAGTCATCATGTCCGAATGTTTGTTTGTACTTTAGGCATAGTGTTTTGTCTCTTGGACTAAAAGAACACAATTATTTTTTTAATTTAAATGATACATTTGTCTTTCATTTGTTCTCAGTTCCAAAAGTAAAAACATATATTTTTTTAATTTTGATCATATCGGAGCAGATCATATTGTACTGAATCCAATAAAACCAAAGTGTTCTATATTTAAATGAAATGTTCCTGAGTCATATCTAAGCCTATAGAGATTTGGGTCAGCTCATCTTGTAAAGTAGGGATGCATTGCCCTAATGTTGTTATTTGCTTTGACGTTCTACCATGTTTATTTATTCCAATGATAATTTTGAAATTAAGCCAATCATTTACTGTTAAAATAAAATACAAAATTAAAATATCTTGCACTACACAGTGTTTAATCCATGGCGTCATGGCTGTGAGGATTCCCCAAAGGCAAATGATGTGGCAGGGCAAGTTGAACAATTGACAAAGCTGAACTTTACACTATAGTCAAGTCAAGTTTATTTATATAGCCCTTCACAGCTATAGTCATTGATCCTCTCAAAATTTGTTGACTCTTACTTAATGCAACATTGAAAAAGCCACTATTAGAATCAATACACAGCCTGCACTGATAATTAAACTTGCATGAACTGGTCCAATAAGTTAATAGTGTATATGTAAGGAATAAAGAAATATATGTATGAGAGCTGAAAACACTCAGTGAGACAGGTTTAAAAGTGTTCACACATACTGGTTGAGTTGTTATCCTCTCAGTGTTTCTGCATTATTGCTGTGTATTTTGTATGTGCGCATGAAATGTTTTTTTGTGTGTGCATATGCATAATAGGTATCTGTACATGTTCCATTTAGGTTGGCAAGCAGAGAAGTACAGGAGTGTGCCTGGTTCAGTGCTCAGGATTGAGATACTCCAACCAACCCAGCAACATTATTTTTGATATCAACAAGTTCCTGATTGGTCTGCAGTGGGGGAAGGAGCGTCAGTTTCAGCAGAGCCAAGCACCGCTGCAGCGGGTCGATGATGATACTAATCGCTCCATCTCATCCATAGAAGAAGACTTCCAGACAGCTTCAGAACACCTTGGTGATGACAGCGAGGATGACAGCTTCAGAAATGGTGAATCTCGTTATCTTGACCAAAGTTTTTTGTTTTTACATGTTTTTATGTGTGTGTATAGTCAGCATAACTTAATCTATTTGGATAGTTTCTTCAGTTCCTTGTTACTGTAATTTCTACATGTAAAGCCCCATTCCAAAAAACAATATGCAACCCTGCCAACTGTTGCTTGGGTCAATATGATGATCAAATGTAGTTCTTTCTGCTGTTATGTGGGTGGTACAGCGATGGTTGTAGTGTTGAGGCATAACTGGGTCATCTCTATGTCTGAGTCAATCTAGTGAGCATAACATTGGAAGTGATAGCTTAGCTTTACGAAGACAGGAACATTTCAGTTTTAAACAGAAAAAAGAAATTTCATCGCCAAGTCAGATACAACGTAAAGCAGCATTTCTGAGCTTATAAAGATATTTAGGTATATAAAATGAATTAAGCATATTGAGTAGAATTTTTTCTTTCTTCCTGTGTTTCTGGCAACATTATCAAGGCAGTTGTGTTACAAGCCCAGAACGATTCCTGTAGTGAATGGCAATGTTTGACACAGGGGAGCCGTGTTTAAATAGTCAATTTGTTACCCTGATGATGAATGAAATATGATAATGGAAATATTTCACTAGCATTTTGTCCAATGGGAAATTCAATGGGTTGCACAAAACATAAACAAGCTCCATTATTCATTGAAGTGTTAATGAGGGTAATATTTTACTATTGCTGTGATGCTTTTGAAACTGATTAAGCTAGTTCTTAATTTTTGATGACATTTTTCTTTCCCTGTGTTGCTCTTTGTTCCCCGTCTCTTTACAGAACCAGAAAGTGTTGACCTGGCTGAGAGCTTGCTAGAGGCTGCACAGAAGCACTGCGTCAGACTTGCATGTCAGAGGGGACAGCTGGCCAATCATCAGAACAGGGACAATGCAGAGTTGAAAAGAGAAGGGCATCAGCAAGCAAGCCTTTATACTAAGGAATCAGCTGGTCACTATGCCAGCAATCTGGCTGAGTCTGTTTTACAAGATGCCTTCATACGCCTCTCTCAAGAGGAAGCCTCCTTTGTCTCTGAGGCTGCTGTCAGTGTGTCCCTCTCTAACCACCCTTCCAACACCACAAGCCTCTCTAAGACCAAACAACCTTCCCAACAGCGCACCTGCTCTTTTGAACTCCCCAAGATTGTTATAGTTCAAAGCCCAGATAGTTCTGACGGGGCTGTGGAATGGCAAGAGAACCAGTTGTCTCATGTGCACGATCAGGGTATCACTGCCAAAGCCAGAGAGGTTCCAGAGAATGAGACACAGGCCCATATTTCTAACCACAATGGAGTGCACCCATCAAAACATGTGGAGGTGGCTTTGGCTTGTGCTGCCAGTGTCATTGGCACCATAACTACCCCACAGCTCACTGAAAAGCTAACAATGGAAGCAGCTTCAGAGGAAGACATAGAGGAGGACGTAGATGAGGAGGTGCAGGAACCAGACGAGAGAACCGACTACTCCTTCTCCTCAGCAATGTGCGGCATGGCTCAGGTGGCTGGTGCAGTAGCAGCAGTGGAGTTGACAGAGGAGTCAGGGGGGCTCTGTGATTCTGATGCGGATTCTGTTGAAGTCTATACAGCATCCAGTGGTCTGATGTCTGCTGCAGAAGCCTCTACGGCCATCACGTTGCACTGCAGTGTGGCAGAAGGAACCAGCGTTGAAGTGTTTCGTGCAAATATTGCTGAAGTCTTACACAGGGAAGCAGCTGAGGTGCTGACTCAGTCGCAAGGTTACAGGAGTGTAGCCCAACTACTGGAGGCCACCCATAACAAGATAGTAGATGGAATTACTTGTCCTAAAAAGTCCTACATGGATGAAAGGGAGGTAGATGACCTAATAAACGAGGTGGCAGACAGCCTTTTCAAGCATGCTTTAGAGAAAGCAAAAAAGAAAAAAGAACTCGAGGGGACTGGAAAAGATGCACCAAAACTCCAAGTTTTCCTGCAGGACAGTGTAAACAGTTTGCTATTCGATATCCTTTGTCTGACACAGAAGAAAATCAGTCACATCTCTAAATGTGACCAGGGGTCATTTGAGGCACAAGAGGGTAGTACTTGTGCTAGGGAGCTTGCTATCAGCAAAGAGAGCAAAGACCCCTTAAGTCAATTACAGTACCTAGTTGGCCGTAGCCAGTCCCCCAATAGAGACAGCAACAGCAGCGTTCTTCATGACACTGATAAGCTGAGCATGGTTCTGAGGCGTGAGGAGAAATGTATGCTTGAGGAAGATGATTTCATGGCATCTTCCTCCACAACAAACAGAAAAGATCAACAGCATCAGTCAACATGCAGACAAAGTATGTATAAATCCACCTCTTTGCCTAGCAGGGACTTCTCTGACCACAATCAGATCCAACAGAGCAGTGGTGCAAATAGGGAAACTTGGAGTGAAATACCATCTCATAGCACAGAGAAGAGAGGAAGACTTGGAACAAGCAGTGACAGCAGACGGGCCTCACTCACACCCCAATCCTCCCTCAACTCTTGCAGTTCCCTGCTCTATTTTAGAATGGACTCAGAGTCCAGGACACCTATTACATGCTATGCCGATGATTTGGCTGCTACTGTGGTGTCTATGGCTACAGAATTAGCAGCAATCTGCCTGGAGAACTCGACAGGGAAACAACCCTGGTTCTGTGCTCTAAAAGGGGCATCTGCTGAAGGGCCAGAAGCCTACTTGTTACCTGCTTGCCGTTCGGTGCTCAGAAGAAAAGAAGGTCCAAGTGGCAATGCTTCCTCTAAGAAACATAGGGCACCTCGTCTCAGCGAGATCAAGAGGAAAACTGAGGAGCAACCTGAGCTGATGGAGCGGCTGGTGAACAGGGTGGTGGATGAATCAGTAAATCCAGAAGAACTACAGGATCCATTTGCACTCTTTGCCTCAGAAGTCACTGCCAGGATCATGAATTGCCCTGAGCTAAATGTGGTAGATACCTCCAAAACAGGCCAACCACGCAGCAGGTTGCAGTGTGAGAGGTGGAGTAGAGGGAAGGCATCTAGTTACGAGAGCATTCCAGAAGAAGATGCAGACCCCTCCGGCACATCCAACACTCTTGGCCTCGGCAATCGGTTAGGTCAGAACTTGAGCCGTGGTAGCTCAATCTCTAAGCAGTCCAGCTGTGAGAGTATCACAGATGAGTTCTCACGTTTCATGGTTAACCAGATGGAGTCCGAGGGTAGGGGCTTTGACCTGCTGCTGGACTATTATGCAGGGAAAAATGCAAGCTCTATTCTGTCTGCAGCCGTGCAACAGGCTGCATCAAAGAAAAATGGTCATCTTAATGTCCGCACTTCATCCTGTCTTTCCAAACAGTCCAGCACAGAGAGCATCACAGAGGAATTCTATAGGTTTATGCTTCGGGACATGGACAAGGAAAACAGGGAGTATGGGATTGCAAAGACAAAAGAATGGAGCAACAGCCTGTTCCCCCCTTCTGCTAGAACACCATTTTGTATAAGACAGTCCTCTGTACCAGACCGGCGCTCCTCAGACTCAAGACTAACTGTCAACTCACCCATTAAAGCCAATTCGTTTGATGGATTTGCCCGCAATGTGCATGGAGACACACTGAATATCTTCCCCACCAATTCGGTGTCGGCCACTGGACTTTGTAAGTCAGACTCCTGCCTCTATCAAAGGGGCAAGTCTGACCAGATTACTGACATGCTGATTCATGAGACCTGGTCAAGCTCTATTGAGTCGTTGATGAGAAAGAACAAGATCATTGTCGATCCAGAGGACAGTATTGACATGGAGGCAGCAGGTGACTGCCAGCCCCACGTGCAGCAGTTTGCCAATCGCCTTGCTGCAGACATTGTAGATATTGGTAAGTCTGCTCTGGGGGGGCTGCAAGATGTAGCCGGGGGAACATGTGGGTCACTTCCACAGCCACATATGCCTGTTGGTGAGAGAAGAAGAGGGTTCAAACAATCCCATCTGGGTTGTGGGTGGAGTAGGACAAGCCAGGAGAAAACTGGGGCTGGAATAGGGTCCACCACCAGTGACAGCGGTGCACCACGCCTGAGGGGTCCCAGAGATGTGCCATTGATCCACATTGAGGGAGATCAGAGGGATGAGGATGCTCTTGTAAACTCTGAAAGGACAGGAGGGGGGCCGCAGGATACAGCCGAAGACACGTCAGCTATCAAGCGAGAGAGAGCTAAAGCCAACAGCAGCAGGTATTACACTGATTAAGGCCTTTCTACTGTATGTGATGGTTAGATCCCTCTTTTATGCATATGTTTTTTTAAATCCCAGCCACAGGTTTATCATATTGTATAAAAGAGTTACAGTGAAAATTTTAATTTATTAAAGGAAAATATTTAAATTTTTTGACACGCATGACACACAAATGGCAATATACAAATGTACTTTTAATGTTTGATCAAAGAGTGTTGGCTCACAGAAGATTCATTCACTCTATTTTAGCATTTATTTTTTAATGTTTGGCTAGGTTTTTGCTAATAGCAAAAAAAGTACCTCGTATGCAGAAATCTTTAGTTGGCTCCATATTTTATCTGTTGAGACGATTCAACTCACCTCAATTGGTGCAAGCTGCACTGACAAGTGGCTTACACAGAAAAACCACAGGAAAGTTATATTTCATATGACACTGACACAACTAAGATATGAGTGTCATTATGCATGTAGTCCTTCTCATTGTTTATAGAAATGATAGGTCTTACAGCTGGGAAAATGATGGCCTGGAGAGGTTTTTTGCCATTTGGAACTTCTTGCTTTCATTTTGGAAGCCTATTTGTTAACAGATTAGAGCAGCCACACAGTCTGCCTGGATGGCATGGCTCAAACAAGGCTTTAGCAGCACAATATGCAGCATCTTTCTTACATTATCCTAGAAGTGTAAAAGATCAGTTGATGGTCAAATCAATATTATTTCAGCAACATTTTCTTTTTTCATAGGGCCACTGTTGGGACACATTATGTCTGACAACTGTAAGGCCTCTGGATTTGACGGCCTAGTTTTTGAGATTGTTCATATAGCAAGCTTAGTATTAAACTATTTCTTTTTCATGCGTTTTCATTATTTACAATCCAACTATAACGACTTAAGAAGTAATCATGAAGTTCGAGTTGAGAGAGACAACTAAGATAAACAAATAATAATGCTTCTGAAAACTAAAATCGTGTTACCTGCCTTCTGGTTCTGTATTTCTATGCGGAAGATATTAATGGAGAGAATGGAGAGAACTTTAACAGAGAACATGGTCTTAACCTTTATCTGAATTATTAAAAGGAAAACTCAATTTAGAGGATAGCGGTGACAGTAGCAGCACCATGTCAAAGAGTTCAACTTGATGTCTGTCAGACACAACTGGAGGTAGAGGGTTTGTCCCAGGAATGACATGTCTTATTCAACAAAGATTTACATTTTAGCAAAACAAGGGCTTAGTAGGATCGACTACATTGTAAAGACTCAAAGAAATATGTGTGGCCTATAAGGGGAAAAAACATGAGTAGACTCCCAGAAGACCTTTTAGCAGATATTTTAAGGGTAATGAAGACAGGAGCAGTTCATAGTGTGACTCAGTGTGGATACAGATGAGCCAGCTGAAAATTCACAAGTGGAAAGATTCATTTGAAAGGGAGTTAAGAAGAACAAAGTGAAAATTGAATATCTGAATGTGGGAAACAGATGCATCTTGTTCTCAAAAAAGTTTTTTGAAGAATTTTAGGTCCTCAAAATAAGACTTGTTCAAAAGAGAATCAGAGTAAAACAGCTGAAAAGCTCCAAAACCACAAGAGACTCACTAGACAGGCTTCCTTTAACCTTCTTTTAGCCCCCTGTGTAAGAGTGGAACTCAATCACAGGCCTAGTCAATAAAACATGATTTCCCTCTGGACTTGTCAAGGATGGCAGGCCTCAATCATCTGATTAAGACCTCATTTGATTCATTTCCTAAAAAAAAATCACTGGTTGGATCCATTTCCCTTTAGGAATGCAGTTTGCTTGCAGTAAAGATAATGAAATGAACACGCTCTAATCAGCTTAATCTACAGCCAGTGATTTCTAAGGGAGGTAATGTATCGCAGAGAAGGCACTGCTGACGCCAAACAGTCGGTAAAACCATCTACTCCTCATCGTCCCTCCAAGTTATTCCACCTTTCAAAACAATACACCACAGAGGACTTTACACCAACTACAAGCTGGGTTTAAGTTTGAAGTTGTAATTTATGATTTAATTAGAAATATCTCAGCTGGTGCATCACCTACATTTTTTGTAGTACATAAATTAGAAATGATGTTCAGACTAGGCTACGTTTGAACTTGTGCCTAGCTGATGCCACCAAGTGCAGAGGAACATGATTGAACAAGTGGCCTACATAGCTGCAAAAAATGGCCTACATATAGCTGCAGACATTGTGAAGAACTAGTCAATGGTCATTCCCACCATTCTTGCGGTTTGCTCTCCCCAGCAGTGAAAGGGACAAGCCCGCTGTGGTGATGGCTGCAGTAGTGAAGAGGGACAAGCGTTCTATGAGTGCTAGCAGTGAAGAGAGCATGGGGAGCTGGTCCCATATAACCCCAGAAGATGACCCACATGAGGAGACCAGTAGTTTTATCCACCTGAGCGAGGGGTCAGTAACCATTGCTCCTTAATGCTGCTGCAAACGCTGCTACTCCCACCCTCACCCCACTCTCATTGGCCCATTGCTGCTGACACTTGTGCTCTCCAGTGCCAATGCCAATCCCCCCCCCCCCCCCCCCCCCACAGCTACAGTACCCACACCTGCTAAGGTGGTTAATGGCAGAGTGCTCTGTCCACAAAGGCCTCTCCATAGCTTGCATACAGGATCACACCATGCCTGCACCACACAACACACAACTACCTGCCTCCTTTAATTGTATAAAAGCTTCTAGGTTGAAATTTTAGCTATTCCATCCATTGCTTCATCAGTTTACCTCCAGCCAACTACTCCAACTGTTTTAAATTAACTAGCCCACCTTGAGTAATTACTCTGTGCTTTCTAGTTGAAATAGGCTAACAGCAGAAAGGGTCTTGTTTTGACTGCCTTAAAAAGTAATTACCAGAACATACCAATATAATAGAGCAAATTCTCTAACACCACAGTACAGATTGTAAACTGAATATTAAAATGTTTATTTCTAAAAGTACTGATTAGAGTTTATATTGGAAGCTGGAAGGTAATGATGTACGACACTTGTTTTAATATATTGCAGGGGTAGTTGTCTGCATCCCAACACAACACTCGCTGCTCTTTGCAACCTTTCCATCTACCTGCTTACTTTAACCTCACCTCATTCCCCCGTTATTGTGACACATGGGTATGGCTGCCAGCCCTGCCTGTCCACCCCCTGCCTAAACTACCTCTAATTCTGCTCATCTTCATACTCAGACAGGCTTGCTGCTGGACAAAAATCCTCAGCTCTCCCACCTTGAGCCGCTGATTCTGCTGCAGCTGCTATTTCTTTGTTAATCACCAGCTAATGAACAACATGACCTGCATCGCTGCGCCTGGTTATTGTTCCCTTCACACATCAATGATCATGTCGAGCGTCTTGAGACAACATGTGGGTGACACTGTCTCCTGTTTTTTGTTGGTTAACAGGAATGGAACCAGCAGTGCATCCAGCCTAGGCTTGGCCGACCTGGATGCCTTCTCTGACGTCCCCACTCAGAGCACAGTAATCAGGTACCTGTCACAGTCGCAAGGCTTGGCTGAAATTTTTCTCATTATTGTGTCACTCAACAGCAATTTTCTATACAAAAAAAAAGGCTGCAGAACATTGCTTTTTCTTAAATAGAGTGCAGCAATGAAGTGACTTGACTGCGAGAGGCTGCTGGACTAACAATCATGATGAGAGATTATCGCTAATTAAGAAAATGTGCTGTCATTATAGCTCTGAAAATCATTTTCAGTTTGCTAAGAAAGTAAAGCGTTGTTTCCACCAAGTGGTCTTGTTCAGTTCGGTTCAGTATGGTACACATTTATTTGCGTTTCCACCCTCAAAAGTTGGGAATTGTACCAAAATAACCGATCCGTACCGGTTTTGCTGCCCTTCTGTTGGGGTCCCAAGTGTACTGATACGACTCTAAAGGGTGGAGATAGACAGTCTGCTGATTGGTGGAAAGAATCTTCACTTCCCATGCAACAGTGGTAATAATGTTTAAATATCCCATGGATTTAAGCTGTTTTTTGCGCCTAATGTCAGCGTGTAGCACCTCTTGGGATAAACAGCAACATGCCAAGTAGAAAGAACACAAATTGTTAGACGTCCTCCATTGTTGCCCTGTGTTAAAGGCTTTATATGCAATTTTTTGATCCAGCAGATGTCGCCCTTGAGCACCAGCATGAAACCAAAACAACTTGCGGTGTATTGTTGTGTTAGCATGCTAATGCTAGCAATCTTTATTATGCTCGTATCTTCACACTGCATGTAAATTTCCCCGAAATGAGCGTGATCTAGAAACGCAGTTAAGCAGTGAGTACAGCATGTTATTCTTCTTTTCTCTAGTCCCTCAATTAAACAACTTCTATTCGCGAGGGGAGGAGTCAGCTGCCGTCCGGGCGATGTAAACAAATTGTTTACATCGCACGTGAAGATATGACTCGGAAAACATCACAGACAGTGGGACTCGGGTGTTACACCCATTGTAGACAGTCATTACTCACAGAGTTATTTTCAGAGGATATGCTTGATTTCTATTACATTTAAGTGTGAAAAATCGCATAAAAAGCCTTTAACTGTGGCAAGTTTTTATTTTTCATTGAATTTATTGGCAGGCTACACTTCTTCGCACTACTGTGAAGTCACACTAATACGTACCTGAAGGGGCTATTGCCATCCCGCCTACACCCTGTCTACCAAGCAAGGGTATGGTTGGCTGTGGAAACACAAACAGGATAAGGGTTGCCGTACCAAACTGTACTGAACCAAACCAGGCCGCTCGGTGGAAACGGGGCTTTAGTGCATCTCAAAATGTGGAACCTTTCCTTTAAGTGATAGTGTTTGTCACCTTTATTTAAATTTTTCTTTTCTTTTCCTCACAGCGATGAGACAGAGAAAGGCTATCTGGCAGGAACCACAGAGAACGCCATTGGTAAGTGTAGAAAAGCGTTGTCAAGTCATCCTCATAATTATAAACATGTACCTCGTGTCACAAAGGCTCCTGGATGACCTGAAGGTTCTGTGTGTGTACGAGGAATCCCTCAAATGGATGTGCTTGAATGGAGACACATTTCCTCTGTAAGACATATGGTCATCAATTATTAAATGGGGCCCAACACATAGTTCATTTTTGTTTTATGACTTAAAAGTCCTTCAACGATTCAAAGTGCAACAGAGACATTTATATTTAATGAAGCTGAACATACTCCATCATACCATGGAAAGGTTTTGCTTGTATATAAAAGAATGAATTGTCTGCGGGGTGTTGTAGTTTTTAGTAAGTGAGGATAACACAGTTACCCTTTAAGGTGTTTACTGCAGGGACGCTCTTCTACTACAAAATGTTCCATCACCTTTGATTTTTTTTTTCTCCAGAGAGCAGTTCAGCAAGGACAGCAGGCAGCAGTGGGAACCGCAGGGTGCTGCTGGTGGTAAACTGTGACCTTGAGTCTGAGAGTGTACATTCTGAGTTAAGAGTGGCTCTGCAGTGGATTGCTGCCTCAGAGCTGGGCCTACCGGCGCTCTGCTTCAGAAAGTCCAGAGAAAAGAGAGTTGCAAAGGTGGGCATGGCATTAAAGTAGTGAAACTCACGTCTCTCTAGATACAGATTTTACAGTTTTCTTTGATTATGATAAGCTTGAAAACCATAAAGAATTTTAGCGATGCTTTGTCCGAAAAATAAATCCTCTGTTACTGTTATTTTATAATACACTTGTAAGCTGTATTATGTTGCCTGTCACTGCTAATTTCCTGTACATAATAAAGATGTTACATTTCTACTCTTTAAATTCCGTCACTTAGTAAAAGTGTTGAGGAAAATGATCATGCATTTATTGTTGTGTGTGTCTCCTTCAGTTCCAGAGGGTGGTCCATCTGATGTCGCAGAAGGCGTGGCGGATTGCAGACTTGTTTGGAGCTGTGGTTCAGTTCTGTGAGCTACACAAGAAAGAGGAGGAGGAGGGCCAGTCCCTGTCCAGCCTGTTCGATTGGCTTTTGGAGACCCTAGAGGGTGGACTAGTTTCTGCATAATACCGCAAACAAAAAACATGCTCACTCATTCACTCACACTACTTACTGTCATCCCTGTCCCGTCTCATCACATCAAGAGTCTCCAACAGCTCGCTAGAAGCCAGTCACGAACAGCAGGATCTGTCTGTAGAAGTTGTGTCTATATTTTTTCTCTGTTCACCACCACAAATGGACAAGTCTCCCTTTAAGAAAAGTATGTTTTATGTTTCTAGACTCATCTCTCTAGAGACACAAACACACACACACACACACACACACACACACACACACAGCAAACTGTAGGTGTTCTGGTTGGACATTCCTGGTAGGAATAAACTAGCCTTCAAGAGATTATAGTCAGCAGGTTTTAACTGCTTCAGATTATATACAAATATTTATATATATTTACAGATTCACACCACCAAATTATGTGAGTATTTATTTATTTATTCCTAATGAACACACGACACAAAGTACCAATAGAGGATAGGAAAATCAGGTGAAATTCTCAAAATAGCTCAATGTGCTTGAACCTTTTGTATCAAAAACCATCTTGTGAAAGAGGCCTAGTGAAGATATGGAAGCCCAGGAAAGCTTTGTCACTTTCTTATGATAGCCACATAGAAGTGCACATGTGCTTAGAGTAAGCAACATGTCCGCATCCTTGTATTCATTGGTCAAAATCTCACCTCTGTTGTGACATTGGGATTGGGTTCTAACTAAGTGTGTTATCTTGTTAATGTTACTGGAGAACGGATTATTTGGATAGATGTCCTGTATATACTGTAGATTTTGGAACTGCTGCACCTTGGAGTAGTGGACTGCTCTCTTTAGTTTCGACTGTGTCAGGAATACAGAGTACGTTTTGTTCTGTCAGATTTGTATGTGAATTTGTTCTGTTTATTTCTCTACTTAGTGGTATTCTAGTGTTACATCAGCATTGAGGAAAAAAGCACACAATTCAACTGTATAAAACTGTCACAGTAGAACTGAATGTATTTATCTTTTGACATCAATAAATTTCTGTGATGTGAAATACAAGCAGTCATCATTCATAACACACAGCAGAAAGGCAACACTGCTTAGCAGCACATGTGTACACATCTGTATTCAACTGTATCACATACTTTCTTCCCAGAAAGAATGACAAGCATTTGGTCTGTATAATATGACATTTATCACAATTAATGCATGCCATTATGTTACTGAATCATCTTTAGCTTTGTGGTGGTAGTAATAATCACGGTTGTGTTGCTTCACAAGAAAATATCAGAAAAAGGAGGAAACCAAAAATCAGGTTATGTTTAAAGCAGAAAAATAGATCATACAGTCGGTGTATGTCTACAGATTGTGAAGAAATTAATATAAAACATGGGATTATGCTGCAGCATGTTGTGCTAACAGAAACAACATCCAGATATTTACAGTTAACAGTCTAGCAAAGGCTAGGTCAAACATGCTAGATTAAATTCAGTGCTGAATTAAGAACCTTTTAGCAAGTATATATTCAGGCCTTACTTTACAGAGCTTTAGAGAACTAGACTTTCTGTAGAGCAAGGTGTTCAATGAGAAGTTTGAAAACTTCTAAATAGGATTCGAAAGATACTTTGTTTATTCATGCATGAAACTAGAGTCAGGGAGAATTAGCTGTAATGGTCCGACTTAGCTTAAAAAATCCAATCCAAGACATTTCCATGCAAACAGGAGAAAAGTTCAGATCTTACGTGTCGTTACGTCCTGTGATAATGTGGATGGAGGATTTTAGAGGTGCTGAACTATGAGCTCAACGACGGTAGGTTTGCTTTGTCCGACTGCTTTCAGTCTTCATGCAAAGCTAAACCAATTGCCTTCTGGTTAAAGCTCCAAGCTTTGCCACAAAGAAATAAGAGAACTGACCTGTACTTAAGATCACACACACAAGTTATCATGCTAATAATCTATATTTTTTAAAAGCTAGGTTTACAGGTATTACCCAGTAGAAAGTTGGTAATCCATGGAACTAGTGCAGCTCCATACAGATCCAGGCACATGAGATACATGAGAGAGACATACTGTAAAATGTAATTTATTCACAAGGATAGGGAACAGGGAACCCTCTAACCTTTTACAGATGACGTTTACCAGACTTGCAGCTCAATGAGGCGGAGGGTTTTTCAATCAGTCATCCACAAGTCGAGCAGATATACAGCAGGTCACACACGCAGAAACACAAATTGCTCTCTGCGTCAAGGCATTTAGAGGCAGGTTCCCTTTAAGTGGTCGAGGGAAAGATCAGTACCAGATCTGGCATGTGTTATCCTTACTTCCTGCAGGAGAGCACAAACAAGAACAGGTGGCTGCACAGAAGGACACAGCTGCACGCTTTTCATGTGAAATGTGCAATTAAGATTCATGACGGCCAGAGAGGACCAACTTAATCACTGCTGAAGGCTACATCTGAACAGTGCATGGTTGTCTGTGTATGTGTATGTGCAGTAAGTTGGGAGGGGCAGTGTATACCTGTAATGATAGTATCACCCTCATAGTTGAAGACACAGGAGAAGATCTCATCGGTGTGGCCGTCAAGGACTTGTAGGCAGCTCCCAGACTGAACATCCCACAGACGAGCTGTCTTGTCTGAGCTGGCAGTCAGGACCCTGCTGCCCTGTGGGCTGAAACAGATCTAGCAAGAGAGGCAGAGTCAGGAGAGTCGCTCTAATTCAGAGATGTGTGTGTGTGTGTGTGTGTGTGTGTGTGTGTGTGTGTGCTCCTGGAGCGATGGAGTGAGTAAGAGAGAGTGCTGTATAAGAGATTATGCCAGTTGTGGTTGCAATGACGAGGAAAAAATGGTGAGTTAACCACATCACCGGCGTTATTTCACAGCGGTCATTCAACTTAATGCTTAAGGAGGATAAAGGCACCTGGAGCTTTTCCTGAAGAGTATTAAGAAAATCATGGCTGAAGCTGATTGTGTTAGATCCCTGGTTTATTGTTCCCTGAATGGTTTTGTGTCCACAGAGTGAAGTCGAGGAAGAGATGATTAAAATAAGTTGGCTCTAAATGGCCATGAGAGTTAAGTATGCTTCTATTAAAACTCTAAATGTTGCACTGAGGAGGGAGCCTTGACAGGAAATGGAAACTGACAAGAGGAGAAGCTGAAGAACAAAACGACATTGGAAGCAAAAATAGAACAAAAAGTTGTAAATGGAACAAAGAAAAGAAGACATGAGGTAAGATGTATAAATAAACAAGACAAAGACTGTATCCCAGTTCAGTTTTACATTCTTAATTAAGAGTCACACTACAAAGTTTACACGTGTTTACATGTTAATGCAGGAGCAGTACTTTAACTGCGTCATTTTTATTGAGCTTTTTGTTTAAGTAAAGAAAATTGATGGCTGAATTGTGCAATAATGTGTGGTTAGAGATGTGTTTTATTGTATTTTAAGTCAGTTCAGAGTCTTCTTGGTCGACATGGTATGCAACAAGGTTTTTTTTTATCTTTGCAATTTTGTTTGTAAAGTCGTGTTTAAAAAATCTGAAAGGTCAAAAACAAGTTAAAAAGACTGCAAAGATTATCTTTATATTAAGTGGGTTAGGTGCTCGATTTGGCATTTAAGGAACAATGTGCAACTTTTTGATCCAGTAGATGTCACCCTTGAGCACCAGCACTAAACCAAAACAAAATGCTGTTTGGGACACCTCCGCTATTCTGAATCCTCCGCTCTCCTCCCGCGGCACACCGCCAACCCTTTTCCACGCGCGTTCACAAAAAGGAGAAATGAATTAGAATACACCATAATAAAGCAAAAGCGGCTGACAAAATTGTCTTTTGCTCAAGCTGCAATTGCCTTGGTCTGCATTGTTGTGTTAGCAGGCTAATGTTAGCACACTCTAGTTAACTCACACACTTATTCTGAAACAGCTTTTATACCCAAGGCCACCCAGTCCATGTAAACATGATGTAAAAACAGCTCCGACAAGAGTACAGCTGGCGGGCTCCGGCTTGTCACTCATTGTAGACGGTCATGACTCAGAGAGACATTTAAAGAGGATATACTTGATTTCTTCTATATTAATGTGTACAGTCTTCATTTAAGGTAACATTTCTTGGCTCAAAAATAACCTTTTGTCATGACCCATGCCAGAATTTTTTTAGCATACAGAGCAGAGATACCCATGACAAAAAGTCCTCTGTCTTTGTTTTGTTAAAGGGAAAAAGAGCTGTACTTTCTGTAATTTTAGTAAGAGATTAACACAATCCTCTGGAATTATTCTCCATGTAGTCTCTTTTTATTACTATTAGACTGTCTAGTCTCAGAGAGCAGAGGTTCTGTCCCTGCTACAAATGAACCCTCTGGGTCATTAAACACACATTCATGAAGAAACCTGGGACATGGTAAATGGGTCAGATGAATCCCATTAATGTGAAATGTTAATGCTGGATGAATCAAAAACACACATTTATACCAAAGTATCAGCTTTCTTGACTTTCCAGATAATGTGACATTGGGTAAAAGGATATAGGAAGCTTGATTTCACTGAATGGCATGTTGTTGAAACCTTTAGTACTCTTGAACATTGAGATATAATTAGTCAGATCAACAGAAGCATTAACGCAGTCGTTGGTCCGCCTGAAGCATCTAATCTGTCCTTTGCAGAAACCAGGTTATCTCTTGTAAATAGGAGTACAGTAGTAACGGCAATAACCTACTTCCGGGAACTGGAAAGGAGAAATGCTGCATCCACTACCTGGTTTAGTAATATAAATGAATAAAATAGTATTTATTTTTGCTCTGCATGTTAATATAGAAGATGGCTGGAAGGAAAGGCGTTGACCTTTTCTTTTCCTTTCCATTTATGTCTTTTAAATAAAGTAGTTTATTGAGTAGAGCCTGACCGATTAATCATCCTGCCAATAATATCAGCCGACATTAATGTATTAAGGGACTATCGGTATAGGCTAATTTTATCTGAGATATTCACCAGTCAAACAGCATTCCCTTTAAGTTTCATTGTATTTCTCTAGCAGTTCTCCTTCACCAGCAGAGTGTTCTATATGGATTACAACAAGCATCATCACTCTCCAGAGTGACAAGCGGTGATGCATGGACATTACATTTTGCAGAACATGGCAAAATACTAATATTGAGTCAATTTCCCTACCTTGGATATCTCTCCGTCATGGCCCACTAGGCTGACGAGACACTGATGTGTGGCTGCACTGAACACTCGCGCTGTACCTGTTAAAGACACGGACAGGCAGGGTTGTAAGCAGTGCACTTTTGAAACGAGCATTTACAAGTACGAAATGTACTTTATTGATCTGCTGAAAATGAACAATAATAGTAATAAGTCTCACCATCGGCAGAGGCAGTAGCAATGAGCTGGCCACTTAAATCAAAACACACATCTAGCACTTCTTCTTTGTGTTCAACGAGAGTGGTGACACACTTCCCACTGACTGCCTCCCACAACTGCCAACACATGCACATAACAAAAAAACAGTCACTGATTGTATTATATGGAAACACAGGCAGGGTAAAAGGAAGCAGAAAACGGACATACATGTAAACTAACACATAATCAGTCCCATGAGATAGGCTTTCATGTAGATGATAGCGTTATAAATCTCCCCCGGAAGAATGCAGTGAGGTGGTTAATTCCTACTTGAGAGTATGACTCATCTTGGCATGCTTAAGGAATTAGGAATTCATTTTTCTACTTGAAATGATGGAGTCCTAAGAGACAGGAGGTGGAGAGTTATGGAGAGTTAGGAGATGGAGGAGGATGAATGTGAATGACAACCACCACCGCAATGGTTTAAAAGGCTGAATGAAAGAAAAAAACAATGGGTGGTAAAAAAAAACTGAACTCATGTCTAAAAAGAGCTGTTGCACAAAAAAATGCATTTCAAACTCACCCACACACAATTTAAGTCTTTAAGTCTTTCAGCTAATATGGTTCACCTTGCAGGTTTTGTCCATGGAGCCTGTGACTATGAGGGTGCAATCCCAGTTGAATTGAACATTGCTGATTTCCCCCCTGTGACCAATCAGAGTGTGGACACGTCTGAGAAAAAAAACAAAAGAAGGAAATTACTCAGTTCTGCACTTTCGACCACAAAATCAATGGATGCTTCGTATTAAGTGTAAATTATAAAAGATGAAACATATTAATGGAGACATTCCAATGACAATAATGTGTTTTTTACCTTCCGGAAGCAACATCCCATATAGACACAGTATGGTCAAAGGAGCCAGTGACAATTTGATTTCCAACTGTGTTAAAACAGAGAGAGATGACCTCTGCAGTGTGACCCTGGATGAAATCAAAAAGATAGAATTATACTTCTCTTTCTCATTTCTCTCCCCCTCCCCCCCTCTCTCTGTCTTTTCTTCTCTCTCTATGATCCTGTATGGATGAAACCACACGTCCAAAACTCCGCCAGCAAATCAACTCATCACACCACGGACGTACTTTCAGTCTGCACATCAAAGAGAGCGCACCACTCAGAATGGGAAATCAGTGCCTCATAAAACAGTTACAGTTAAACCTCTCATCAGATATTGGGGTGGATAGGTTGTCCCAAAAGGCCTCATTGAGGGAACTACTTATTTAGGAATTGAATTAAAAAAGTCAATCGAAGCATTTTTAATGACTGGATGTGAGTTCTGATGAATAAATCAGAGAACTTTTGAAAATAAAGTAAGTGAAGATAAAATAACTCACACATAGAGCGGCCACCTCCTCTCCAGTCTCGACATCCCACAGCTTGGCAGTACAATCCATGCTGCCTGTGGCCACCAGGGTACTCTGGGGGCTGAACGCCAGGCACACCTACACAATACAAAAGTTTTACACTCACTAAAGCTTGATTCTGCAATAAAGCCACAAATAATTTGACTAATGCATTTAACATCTAGACACTTACTAGACATAATACCAAAGGAAACACTGTTAACAAATTAATTAAAGTGCTCATTTGGCCCTGGGCTCAACTGAAGGCACGTCATCCTAGAGAGGAATATATGTGAAGAAATATACAGTAGCCATACAATGCAACAGTTGACAACAGTAACTACATTACTACTACTGAAGAAAGGTTGTCAAACATACTATTTCAGCCATGTGTCCGCGGAAGGTATGGAAACATATGCCTGTCTCAGCGCACCACAGTTTGCACGTCTTGTCAAAAGAACCGGTAGCAATCTTGTCCCTAAATTTGGATATGGTACAGCAAATAAAATATCAATCTACTCGTCAAATAGAGCAACCTTCTCAAATGCAATTGAAGATTTGCTGAACCTGCTAATTACCCATAGGGGTTGTTGAATGCAATGGCATACACCACATTTTTATGACCCTCTAGTGTGTGCAGCTCTGTGCCTGAGGCTGTGTCCCAAACTCGACACGTCCTGTCATAGCTCCCAGTTATAAACCTGCAGAGAGTCAGAAAGAGACCAACACAACAAGCATAAATACATAACTTTTCCTGAAATCAATATTGCCAAACTTTTGTGTCTATCTTCACCCACCTGGAGCCCGATTTATCAAAGGCAACATTCGTCAGTGGAAGGACGTGTGCCTTAAGCTCCTGCGAAAGATAAGGAAGACATGAAAATACAACCTCAAGTAAAGTGTAGTGAGTGACTTTATTTATCTATAGATATTAATTTTAATAACAGTATATTTCCTAGCCTGCTAGTGGTGGAAATATTTTCTCTCCTTGTGCAAAACAACAGAGTCTCTGACAAGTTTTAGACAACAGTAGAAAACAGACAAATTCTCAAACCACATTAGCTGATCTCATACAGGGTGTATGTCTTGTATAATTATTAACACACTTTGTTAGTGAAGTATATCGTTAACTTAACATGCTATTAAACTGTATGCATGTTGTTTAAATTCTAAGTAACCTAGTCAATACTGCTCTCTAGTGCTTCTTTGTAGCATTGGCTACTGTCACCACTCAACCTTCTGACTTTCTACAGACTTTCACAAAGAGCAAGAGTTATGCTACTCTTTGACTGCTGTTATAATCGGGTTTTAAAAACTTCATTCATTCAGAAAGCAAAGTTGTTTTTCTTGTTTTGTTTAGTCTAATGAATTCAGAAAGACACAACACAACAGCTTTCTTAACAAACAATGCAACTGATTTTACAACATTCCACTACAAAGCAAGCACTGGAATAGAAAACAAATGAATGTTTGTGTTTGTTCATTTTGTTAAATGTAGAAGTCATGTCACAGTGCCGATGTGTGAATGCAACTACTAATGTAGTTATGTGTTCAGTGTCTGACCTTGAAGAAACAGAACCTGTGGTTCTTCTGGCCTTGTTTCTGCTGCAGTCGAAGGATCAGCTGTTTGACCTGATCAGCCCGGGACTCTGTAACAAGAGGCTCTGACTGCCTGATTTCCTCCACCAACTCATCTGGATTTGTTCTGTGTGATGGAAAAAAATATATTTTATAAATATTCAATCTGAGGAAATGACAAAATTACATGCAAAATAAAACAACTTGTTTATTTGTAGTAAATGTTACAGTAAATTTACTCTTTAATTTTCACATTTATGTGCATATAAATGACGGATGTGTTATATAGACTATAGAAGAATAAGCTATAAATCCACTCAAGTTTTAAACCTGAAATCTGCTTTGAGCGTAAGTCAGCAAATTGACTTTATTGTCAACAAGATCACTTTGGTGTGTTTGACAAAATCAAACAACTTTCTTATTTTATTAAAATGTAAAGCATCAATAAAATAATATATAAATACGACTGATGTTTCAACTATGCAAATACATCTTACATCTAGCTCTACACGTCAAATGGTAAATAGAGGCTGAGTAGTCCCTCACTCACTGTACAAGCTTAAAAGAAGGTAATGTGGTATCTGAAAAGCATCATCACCCAGAGGTTATGATATTACACAGTTATCAGCCAGCCACGCTGTTAGCTCACGTCATGAACCGTACAGGACAAAACGCACTTACTCTGGAGTCAAATCAAAAAGGTCGATAGATTTCGACCGCACATATCCCCTCTTCTCATACTCCAAGATTATACCTGAAGGTTAGAGACACGAATAAAAACAAGTTCAGCCAACTTACGCCCGGAATGAGCTCAACAGTTAAATACGAGGCCAGGCAAGTCAACTTAATTCGTGGTTTGAAACTAAAACAGTGCAGCAGGAAAGCTGCTCTTTGGCAAATTCAATTAATACAATTAATACAAAATAACGTAACAAAGGAGTCAAACATTCAAGTTGCATTACCTGGTGGATAATATCTGAGATAGAACCGCTTGAGTTTCATTGTGTCATCTATTGTATCTACTCAGACCACTTAACCTCACTTATCAACAAACCGTTGCCGTGACGACAGATGTCACCGCGTGCACTTAGTACGCATGCGTATTATGAGCATAAAACGCAAACACGTCAATGGCCGAGCACCATTGCCCAATATACTTTTTATTTTACATCACTTTCCCATAAACTTCTAATAAGGTCAGTACAAACCAGTCTATGGTACAAACTCCATTTAAACTCGTGTCCCAGATGCAAATGGTGAATTTAAAAAAAACATCTGTACCTTTTTTGTAGCTATTTAGTAACTTTTTTAAACAGTTAGATAATTATTTAACCACTTCCAAATAACCCTACCTTTGATATCATTTCCTTAATGCTACACTGGGCAAGTCATAAATTCCCAGGCTGAATTTGCTGTGTCTTCCTATAAATATATAAATATATGATTATCCTATACAATTAGCCTACAAGTTTTATTTCTGTGTTAACCTGTCATCTGTTTTGATTGATTTTATCTAGACTTGTTAAAATCTTGAAGGCCTACCGATAGCAAAACCTGAAAAAAGTGTTGTTTGAGCCTCTCAGCAATCCTTTTGTTTCCTAACCGCTCAAAGTCTATGGCTCATAAACTGTGACTAGGGCACGTGGAGATCATAAAGATAAAGTGTGTATTTTCTAGCTACTGATGAATGCCTAACACTCCTATTGGTGCTTCAGAAATATAGGCAAGAGAGTTAGACTTTCAACTAAGACCAAGTCGTTTAGGTAGATCACCTGGAAATTGAAACCAAAGAGGATCTATGTGAAATTCTGAAGAAGAGAAAACATGGGCTTTTCGGAAAAGTTGAAGTCCTCCAGCTGGATTTATCCCACAGCAGTCCTGTCACTATATGGGTTTTTTGCCAACTGCAGAGTAGCCGAGCCCTTCCTTACTCCATACCTGATTGGACCAAACAAGAACATCTCTGGAGAAGTGGTAAGGATGGCGGACACACACACCCTGTAATGTAGAACTGATATGAACAGATATTCTAAAGCATGTGTACATCCCTTTGTCTGTTTTTACCTTGCACTAAACTTACACCAACAATGTACTACACTAAAACAGTGGTCAGCATGTGTTCTCTGGTGTTTTTTGTTTCTACAGGTCACAAACTACCTGTTCCCTATCTGGACGTACTCCTACCTTGCCTTCCTTTTCCCCGTCTTCCTCCTGACTGACTTCCTGAGGCATAAGCCCCTCATTATGGTTCAAGGGTTCTTTCTAGTCACCAACTACGTCCTGCTCTGCTTTGCCCCGGGTCTGCCTGCTATGATCTTCCTTCAGGTCATCAAAGACAATTAATGATTTAAAAAAAAAACATTTCATTAATAATTTTCCTCATGTATCAATTCAGTTGAATGAAAAATAAATATAACACTGGTAGGTAAGAGCAATATTACTGTAAGTATTCTTGGAGCAAAGACAACTCTTAAAACCTAGATTGCATTATGTTTTGTGTAACTGGAACAAGGTGCATTTTACGATTCTTTAAAAACTTTTCTATCCCATCAACAGGTCAACTATGCTGTAGTGACTTCCACAGAAGTGGCCTATTTTTCCTATATTTACAGTGTGATTCCAGTTGAAAATTACCAAAGAGCCACTGGATACCTGCGCAGTGCCATGCTGGCTGGATATACAATCGGGGCCAGCCTGGGACAAATGCTCATATCCCTAGCAGGTAAGGTTTCCCTCCTATGATTACATCTAAATGGATTAAAAAGATTGCATCAGTATTTTGCCTTGTTATGTCGTCAAAACCAAGATGAAAAATATGTATTGCTTGGCCTGCATACATAACAAAATTGACTACACAAAAAAAAAAAAACATTTTGAAAGTACTGAATTTACGCTGATGAAGCACAAACTGTAATCCATAGAAGTGGACTACTTCTACATCAATGCCATCACTCTGGGGATTGTAAGCGTGGCTTTTCTCGTCTCCTTCTGGTTGCCCATGCCGCAGAGGAGCCTGTTCTTCAAAGGGAAAAAGGATGCAGCTGAGGGCTCGCAGTCCCAGCGGGAGGGGCAGCTGGGAGCCTACAGGCCTGAGGAACCAGTGACGGATGTGGATGAAGTTGGCTTGGGGAAAGAGAAGATGGAGCATAATGGCAGCGCTGGCTGGTGTAGCATGGAAAATGTGGCCACTGCAGGCCGTCTACTTTGGCAGAGCTTCAGGGAGTCTTATTCTTCCAGGCATTGTCTTTTTCTGTTGTGTACCACAGCTTCATTTATTTTACTGCAGCAAATTAAAAAAATTAGATGATGTTTCAAAATGGTGTTTTCTAAAGTAGTTTATTTTTTTTATCTTTTGAGTTTTATTCATGATTATAATGTTTAAATAATGACTTTCATACAGGCACTTAATCTACTGGTCCCTGTGGTGGGCTCTGGCCACATCAGGTTACGTGCAGATTTTCAACTACATCCAGCTTATGTGGAACCATATAGAACCCTCTACTACGTCATCAGTGTACAACGGGGGCGTGGAGGCGGTTTGCTCTCTTGTGGGTAAGACGAAGTTGTTGGTGTGTCAGTGTGTATCTGTGTCTGTAATATAGAAAACCCTACAGAGCGAGAGAATGAATAAAATAAAGGTAAAAGCCAAAAATATATGTACAACCCATATTTGAAGATGTAAGAAAAGAAAAGAATAGGTGAGGAATTTTAACCTAACAACATGTCTCTGGACTGTGGGAGGAAGCCGGAGTACAACCCATGCATGCACAGGGAGAACATGCAAACTCCATACAGAGAGGCCCTGTCCATAAGCATTCAAACCAGGAACCTCCTTGCCGTGAGGATACAGCGCTAACTACTGCGCCACTGTGCAGCCCAGGCATTATCTTATAAAAGTAAATTAATACAGGAGATAATGTACACAGAAGAACCTCCAATGAAATAGGGAAAGTTGTTTTTTGGGTACTGTTACCTCACTGAAGTGACCAAAAGTGTATATAAGCCATACCCTATTTTCATTACATTATGATTCAGTATCAGTAGTTTCAAATTAAACGGGCTGGCAGATGACACACTGATGACACATTTATAAAGCTCACAATAAAGAAAGAAAATATGCTCTGCTTGCTTTTATGGGATGCTTGATTAGATGGAAAATGTGTATGGATTTTGTAAGGAGTAACAGAACCAGTGCCCGCTGGCTTACACTCAAACTGGCTCGACATGTGGAGAAGAAGAGTAATTACTTCAATTAAGGAGATAGAGTTAGGAGGTAATGGATTCTGTGATTATTGCTGATGGTTGATTCCAAGAGTCAGGCGGAAGTTGTTTGTCAGCATAAAAGGCAGGTGGTGGTGAGGCCAGGAAAGACATCTGTGTGCATAAGGCTACAGCTCAAACCCTTATATCATCAGTCAGGGGGAAAAACATGTTGTTCTTGGCTGCGTTTAGTGAATAACAACAAAAGTGCATAATGGAGGGTTATCCTATCTTTGTCTTCCATGGGCAAGGGGCTGCAGCTGCCTTCTCCGTGGGACACATCAAAGTACCATGGGCTGTGTGGGGAGAGCTGGCATTGGGATTGTTCTCAGCCATAGCGACGTGTGCTGTGTTTCTGATGGCCCTCACCAGCAGCATCTGGGCATGCTATGCTGGTTATGTCATATTCAAGTCCTGCTACATGCTTCTCATTACCATCACAACGTAAGTCCCCTTTACATCAACATCCATCCAAAATGTGATTCTGCACGGTTATTGCTTCTTCTTTTTTTTGTAAGTCATCTCTGTTGATGGAGGGACAGCAGAGCACAAATGTTTTTTTGTTTTTTTTTAACTGTAATGTTGCTGTCATGTTCCAAACATACAAAACTCTAAGTTAATAGTTGCAGTGATACACATTCAAAAAGAGAAAGTACACAATAAAGAACCTACTGTAGGAACCTTTTGCATGATAAGAAAACCAAATAATTTACTACCACATCGATGGAGTTGACTGATATTTTATCCTGATAAGCTTCTTTTGAGTTGCTTATAAGTGTCGAGCATAGTTCTCACTGAATGTTTAAGTAAATTCTGCTTTTAGATTTCAGATTGCCTCCAACCTCTCCATGGAGTGCTACGCTTTGACATTCGGGATCAACACCTTTGTAGCCCTGTCGCTGCAAACCATCATTACAGGCATATTTGTGGATGAAGCTGCACTGGGACTCGATATTGTGACACAGGTATGTTGTTCACAGTATCTGAGTGTTTCAGTATCATTTTAACAACAGAACAAAGGTGTTTGAGGTACAGCTGAATCTGCTTTCTGCCTGATAACCTCCACTGAAACGTGAGGACAGGGTGACACCTGGTGGCTATCCACAGACTTGTCTGATGAAGATTGAGCTCCAGCATTATTTAGATTTCATTGCAGAGTATGACTAATGGCTTTCTCTGCAGTTCATCATCTACGGCAGTTACTATGCTGCTATCTCGGTCCTCTTTCTGATTCGAGGGACCTACACGGCCTGTGTAAGTCGATGCGGTCCTGACCTCTCTGAAACCAAGGAGCTAGAGTCCAATGTGGAGGTGATCTCTGCTGAACGTCTCTGAACAAGGTCAACTAACTGCCGGTACTGTCTAAATGAACAGCTGATGGTTCCTTTTGTCTATGGAGAATAAAATAATCCTACATCAACATTAATGTTCTCTATCAGGTGGTGTGAAGCTGACCTTACTTCTATTTTATCTCTACAATTAATCTCTGTAACATTCCACTCAGCACAATCAAATCTGCAGTAATTAAAGATTAGTGGGGTATAAGTTTGATAATGAAGTCCACAGATTTGTGTGGATGCCTGATTAATTTGTGACTCATGTTGGGCTGAGGTGGATGTGACCTCAAGGCTGTGCTGCTCTTTGACCGGGTTGTTGATTGACAAACCGAGCTCAATGCTCAGACTACTTCAGGTGTTTCTAGCACGAGGAGGCAAGACGGAAAGCGTAACAAAAGGAGACACGCACCTGACACGAGTGTTAAAAATAGCAGAAGATGGAGGCAATGAGAAGGTGCAGGGCAGACTGGAGGTATCCCACTACTCTTCTGTGCGTGTATGGATTCTTCAGCACAGTTAAACCACTGGAGCCTTTCATGATCCCGTACTTGACAGGACCAGACAAGAATCTGACAGCTGAAGAGGTACAGACAAACACTTTAGACAAATGGCTTGAGAAGATCTTAGCCCAGAGGCATTCATAAAATAACTCAGTCAAAAAACGGCAACCATTGCTTTGTGTGATGCAGCCTTGATAATTTTGTGGCTTTGATCCCAACACCTTAAAAAGCTTTTAAAAGGTCTCTTTTTGTACAAGCATAAACAACATGCACATGTTTATTGTAACAAAACAACCAAGATGCTTAGTCACAGTAAATCTTTATAACTTGAGTGGTAAAATCCATTCAAGGTTATGAAATGCTCGATTTCTTATCAGAAAGCAATCTAGTTTCCTTGTTACATGTAATTGCTTTTGACAAGCATTTATTTATCTCCTGATGTTTTCTCATTAGGTTAACAATCAAATATTTCCAGTGTGGACATACTCCTACCTATCTGTGCTTGTGCCTGTGTTCCTGCTGACTGACTGGCTGCGGTACAAACCTGTGGTGGTGTTTCAAAGTTTGGCCCTCTTCATTACCACAGCGATGATTCTCTGGACACAAAGTGTACAAGAAATGCAGGCCATGCAGTTCTTCTACGGCATGGTGACCGCCAGTGATGTGGCCTATTTCTCCTACATCTACAGGTTATGCACGATACTAGCTTTAAGGGCACTGGTACTAGAGGGTGTCAGGGTTTTTGAATGTAATGCTCTGAAAAAAAAAACAGACGTGACATTTTGAGTGTGTTGTTTTTACAGTGTGTTAGATCTGAAGCGGTACCGGAAGGCCACCTCTTACTGCCGCAGTGTCCAGCTACTTGGGTTCACAGTGGGCTCTGTTCTGGGCCAGCTGCTTGTAAGCTTCAATCTCATGTCCTACAACAACATCCTGGTATTCACTCTAGTTCTCACCGCCATCGCTTTCCTGTTTGCTTGCCTCCTGCCAATGCCAGAGCAGAGCATGTTCTTTCATCGCAGGCAGAAAGCAGTGACAGAGGGCACAGAGACGATTGTGGTTGCTAAAGAGCACGTTCATCGATCAAAGGAATCCTTGGATGAATTTAGAGTGGAGAAAAGAAGAGAAACAGAGGATGTAAAAGAGCTTGAGGATAAGGAGCGTGCTGAGTCAGTAGGTGCTGAGAGCTGCGGTAACGTCCTCCTCCAGCTGTGGAGGGATTTCCGTCTGTGCTATTCAACCAGACAGCTGCTCTACTGGTCAGTGTGGTGGGCAATGGCTACATGTGGCTATAACCAGACCGTCAACTACGTGCAGGTCAGTTGTAAAAGCAACATTAACAGCACATTTGCACGATTGAGTACCACTAGATCACTCAAATCATCACTGCAATACCCTCCTGCAGGTGCTGTGGGAGCATGTGCAGCCTTCTCAGAACTTCACCATCTACAATGGAGGGGTGGAGGCTGCGTCAAGCCTGTTGAGTAAGCAACGACATATAAATGATTCCAATGGGGAATATGCTAAGAGTGTACTAATTTATTTCTACACCATAACTTAAAAAAAATCAATGTGTATTGCAGGTGCAGCCACATCCTACGGTATAGGCTTCACTGAGGTGAGATGGGAACAGTGGGGAGAGCTGGCCCTGGGGGGTTTCTCTGGACTTGGGGCAGCAGCACTCTTCCTCATGACCTTCACGGGCAACATCTGGGTCTGCTATGTCTGTTACATCATTTTCAAGTGCCTGTACATGCTGCTGATAACAATAGCAATGTAAGAGCCAACATGTTTTTAAACATCAGAAACAAAGCTCATTTTTATTTCAGGCAGAGCAGGAAAAAAAAGAGCTTAAACACGTGACACTGATACCTTCTCTTAGGTACCAAATTGCAGCTGACCTGTCAATGGAAAGATACGCACTAGTCTTTGGAGCTAACAACTTTGGAGCATTGGCTCTACAGACGATCATCACTTCTGTCGTGGTGGACAGTAGTGGGCTGGGCCTGAGCATCATCCCTCAGGTGAGTTGTCTGGTCAGCAAAATGTCAGTAAGGTCTTCTGTAGAAGTAGCAGAATTGTTTATAAGCCCAACACACGTGTAAATGTGTTAAAATATTGTGTGGTTTGTTTACAGTTCATCGTGTATGCCAGCTACTTCTCCCTCATCGCCGTCGTATTTTCACTCCGGGGACTCTATACCATTTGGAGAACGCAGAGAAGCAGCAAGGACTTGACGACGCCATCAGACAGAAATGAACCTTCGGACGATGAGGAACACAGGTTCTGAATAGAGGATCAGATGTGATACTCCCCGGCTGAGATAATCACTTGTGCTTTTGGAGGAGACGTGCTGGTTTAAAAAGCAGACAAAGCTTTAAAGTACAGACTGCAACACCACAAATGTTTATCTTCTTTTTCTTTTTATACAAAACAAATATACAAGATCTTTTTTTTAGAAATCCATATAAATGAAAGGTTTGGTCAATTATGATTACTTAAAATTCATTTTAATATATATATATACTGTATATATTTACATATTAACTTAAAATTCTCTAATACCCAATGTTAGTGGTTTTCAGTTCATCAGCCATTCCTGTTACCCACTTACGGATGCAGTGACAGTAGTTCAGAAGCATATTGTCCGGCACTCGGTCAGCAGGGCAGGGGTCAGCAGAGAACAAGCCCCCCCTGCTTGATCCTGACACAGCAGTCACTTTTTATTTTATCTATTGCCAATAAAACAAGCGTTTTGATTTTTTTTTATCTTAAGTGAGAATAAGTTTGCCTAAAAAGTATCCTGCACAAATACAGTTTGGTTGTTCACAAATACAGTAAATGGCAGTACCCATTAGCTTTTCCAAGCAATAGTTCTGTCTTAAATCTTGCGTGGTAAATACAAATACTGATATGCACAAAGAGCTCATAAAGAAAAAAATATGTACAGAATTGCAGCATAACGAATGGGATACACAGTATGCAATAACTTAAGATTTCAGCCAGTCCGATTATACATTGTGGTTCAGTAGAGGCCAGGCCAGTTCACAGGTTAAATAGAGAAGAGGGGATCAACCTCTCCCTCCGCACACACCATCAGTTTGTCTTGTAGCCGTTGTAAGTGTCAGCAGGACCGTCGTATTGTCATATTGTTCCATCTTTGACAAACTGTGATAGAAAATACAAATCCTTGCAAACATTGTGGTTTTAAAGCTACTTGTGAAACAAAACAGTGCAATAGGTGCAAGTGCTCCAGTTTTCGACCCTGTAGTGGAGCTGATTGGATGGATCGCTATAAGAAGGGATTTGTTGAAGAGCCTCCTGCTGGATATTGTGCAGATGGACCAGCACCCTGGGAGGGAGGGAAACAAACAAGGAAAACACTTACTTCACTTAGCACCCATTAGAGGGTAAAAAACACTATTCATGTCCAACTTTCATTTAAGCAGTCTTTTAAATTACAACAGCATAAATTACTTTCATTATCTGTATCAACAACGTAATGGTTCTGATGCTCATTCATTACTTAAAATGGAATATGCCATGTAACCCTTTCACTCACCAGGAAAGGGTTGCTAGAAACCATCTGTCCAGCCATAGCCTGTCCAAAAGGAGTCACAACCGGCTTTGCCTGGCCATAAGCTGGATATCCACCACCTGAAAGACATGTGATGTGATATAAATTCTAACAACAACAGAAAGATGGATGTCTTTGCTCATGTTAAAAAGCAGGAAACCTAATCTTGCACCAGGAGAGAATAGCCCTGATTCCAAACTGACACTGGTACCACAACATGATGACATTACAGTCATCAGCATAGTTATCAATGCAGATATATGTATCACCATGATCTACACACACACACACCATTGGGTTGCTGGGGATATGCAGGAGGCTGAGGGAATGGGGCCTGGCCAGGAAAGGGTTGCTGGAAGGTTCCACTAAAGCTGGTGGGGAGGTTGTATGCTGCAGCGTTTCCAAATCCAGCTGGCATACTCATGGAACCCATGCCAAATGAGGCTGCAAGACAGCAAGAGAGTCAATGGTTAAACAAGCCTGTGCAACACCTTTACATGTGAGCATTCATTTGATTTACTTCAAGATAATAACAGGAATTTAACAGGACACACACACTTTCCATTAAAATTGTGCTGGCACACATCAGCAGAAAACAAAACCTGATAATATTAACATGTTTATTTCATAAGCAGTTGGTTAGAAAGCAGCACACTGACGTGAAGTAAAATGAGTGAGCTGATAGACTAGGAACAACAGAACAGTCATTCAAAAAACAATAAGCACTAAAGAGATGTGATGACTGTCCCTTTAAGAGGTGAGCAACTGAACGTAACTCTGTGGTTATTAATGTGGCTGTCAATGCCAAAAACCACAGGAAAACAAGTCAGATTAACTGTGGTGAGTATGACAGCCAGCTGAAAATATCTGATATCTAGTACAAATGCAACATTCAATGCAATGCCATGACAGGATGACAATTTGATTTACAGCAGTTTAGAATTCGACTGAATGAACATGCATTTAAAAGAGAAACAGATGCTAGAGAAGCCATTATCAGTGAATCTATAGGGACCAGACAGTGGGGATTCTCCTTCAAAAAATAATGGACAACTATTACTGAGATAGATCAAGCTCAATGTTATTTCAATCACAATTAAAAATACAATTATTACAACCTTTCTCCATATGAACATGTACATATTTCGTGTTGCTTGGTCCATGTTTCTTTGTCAGGGCTTTCAATTAAGTCAGTTAAGATATTCATGAGGTATTAAATCCTCTTTGTGTTGTGATGACCTTTTTTTAAAAAAACCTTCCTATTAGATTTACAGGAACCCACAGCCAGAATAAAAAGGGACGCAGAGAGCAGAATTAGATCCTACCAAAGGCTGGAGGGTAACCCTGCCCATGAAGAACCCTAATCAAGTCTGTCCAGGAGGGCAAGAGCAATCAAAGGGGACTAAGTCTCAATGTCAGCACATTCCATGGTGTTTGAGCAATGCTACTTTTTCTGCCCATTCTGACAGTGAAAAACATTTGTGTTCAGCACTCTTCTTATAATTTCTAGTTATCTTTCTCTTCTCCCTGATTGGTGCCTGAGGCTTATTCACTGCTGAGGCAAGGCAATGGTTGCCATTTAGGTTGTGCAAGGAAAGACACTTTGTCATGAACCTTAATTTCTCACAGAAAAGCAGATTTATATCACTAATTAAATTGCTAGGTTAGTTGAATTGTAGGTGTAATACACATTCACTGACACACAAAACACAAACAGAACACACCTGCTGCTGCTGCTGCTGCTGCTGCTGCAGCCATGTTTGCACTTCTGCCGTTGCTCTGGAATGGGTTGGTGGGAGTTGCTGCAGGGGCTACTCCAGCAGCTACAAACGGATTAGTTGACTGAGCTGTTGAAAGAGACATCAAGTCACCTACAGGGCGCACTCACACTAGGACCAGCTGCCCTGTACCGTGCTGAAGCATGATGGCCCCCCCCCTTCCCAGTCCCCCCCTGGCCTGCACTCACATAGCTCCAGGCCTATCTGGGCCTGAGCAAAGTTACCTCTGTACACATGTCATACCCTCATGTGTAGTGTTGGTGCACTCTGGGACTTTTTTTCTCCATGTGAGGAAATAGAATTTTGCAATTTACATAATAAGGTTCAAATTCGTTTTCCCTTTTTTTTTAGCACTTCAAGATCCGATCATCACTAACGTGTGTGACTTGCAAGAGACACGATAAAAACAATAACAATGCTCAGTTATCATTTTGACATTTAAGTTGGCTTGATTGATTTTTGACACCAACTCATGCACTGAGAAACATGAAAGAAAACCTCAACATTTCCAGTAACTCTCATATTGCAGCCATAGACTGTTTGATAGCGGCACAGTGGATTTTTTCTCCAACAATGGAGATCAACACAGAGAACATGAGTGCAACTTCACTATCTTTGTGACTTATTTTGAGTCGCTTCGGTCAGATATAATCCTCTTACAATCCTGGATATCTCCATTAGTCAAACAAAACTGGACTTTGGGGGTCAAACGTGCTCGAGCACGGTACAGATTGCCTAGTGTGAGTGCGCCCACAGAGTACAGAGTTTGAAAGAACCATCAAATGAAAATCATATTTAGAAATGTCATTAAGAACCAGCTGTAGCAGAACTCTTAAGAATTGCCGACCTTCCGTTATGCTACACAGCATTGGGTGAGCATGATTTTCACTTTTCAACATTTTAATCTCCTACTTAAACAAGCAGATAAATCATTTCTCCCATTATCCAAAATGATCATGGCTAAATTCCTGCTGATTATTTAAGATCTGCCCATAGTCCCAATCAGTTAGATTAAATTATCTGCTGTCAAACTTTCTAAATACATCTGAGGAACCTAATAAACCAAAATTACCAGAACGGTGGCCTGGCTAAAAATACATTAAGAAAGGATATTGAGGAAAGAGAAATGCTTATTCATGTTAGACATTTGATTGTTGACAGAATGAAACATGCTACAGATTTAAGATTTACACCTTTTGATTACATCTGCAGCCTGCTAATGACTGGAACAAAACCTAAAGATTCATCAAGGAGTACCAGGTGTTGGTCCCTGTCAGCTGTAAAAATCAAACTCCCCTGTTCACATGGGGTTGTCTAAAAAAATCAACCCCCATCAGAAAACTGTCAGCACATTTGCTTACCTCCGAAACCTTGAGCCACACCAGACAGGACCTGTTGTGCGTGTGCTGTTGATACCCTGGTGTCTTGGCCAAACACAACCCTGAAACAAAGTCATCACAGATGCGGTTTAGGAAATCCACCAAAATAAAACCAGAGACCAATCCGAGTGATAGATGTGGTGTCACTGTGTTTTTGTAGATTTACACTCTTCTGGATGATACTGGATTTGGTTAACGAGTTTTAGAAGTCACCACAGCTTAGAGTTGAATAATGTCAGTGTGTTTGATGTAGTGTCTCACCCTTGTGATGCGTTGCTGGTGTTATAAACAGTGGCTGGCGGGGCTGGCGGGCTGAAGACTGTATCAAGCTCAGCTAGAGCAGCATAGCGGTCTCCGTCTGATTGCAGCTTCTGAGACACACTGCCTACTCCTGCCGGTGAGCCTGACCGAACTCCGACAGGAATACCACCTCCTGGAATAGAAGCACAGAAAAGGCTAGCAAGGTTAAGTCCAATTCGACTCGACTAATGCAGGAGGAAAATAGTCATTTCAAAAGACACAAACACAAGGTCCCGAGATAGCTGCCATATCAACCTATTCAAAGTAAAGGGGAATAAATACAGAGAAATACAGTTTGTGAAAAGTATGAAAAAAAAACAAATACCAGCCCAGGATTCACAGATGAGCATTGGTTTATAACCATGTGTGATTTAAATTCACCAATTAAGCAAATGCATGTAGCATTCATTAAAGCAAGGATCTATTTCCACCATATCCAGTGGTGTGTTAAAGGAGGCTGGTTCAGAAGCCCTGAGGCCTGGGGCCTGATTTAAACATTTATTTTTTTTCTTTGTACATAGAAATGATAAGGTTATCAAGCCAAGAAATATGTGATAAAAGTATTGTATTGTGCTGTTCCTGCACAGGGAAGTAGACTCAAAGGAACATAACTCTACGGGCAAGATATGTTTCAGATCAAACAACCTGGTCGACCTCGTTCCCTACAAGTGAGATCTATGAAACAGGCTAGGCAGGAGTTTACCTTGCTCTGTTTTGGCAGAGCTTAACACGTTATCCAGGTCAGCCAGGGCTGCGTATTTATCGGCAGGGACGCTAGTACTCTGTACAACATCTCTGCCAGCTCCTGTGGAGTTACTCTGGGAGGAGGAACTGAAGGATCCAAAGTCAGCACTACACGATTTGGGGAAGTTGTCAAAATGTGCAAAATTGGCGTTTGCTGAGGCGCTACCTGTATGAAAGAGAGAGATTAAAAAAACATAAGGGGACCTCGAATTTTGGGGTTTTGAGAAACAACAGTAACAGGGTGGAGAGGGGGGATAAGAAGCTGCATGGACGGTGAAGTTGGGATGGAGTCAGGCTAGTAACCGTCATTTACTATTGGGTTGTTCTTCACTTCTAAAAACATGTTCTCTGTATAACTGCACTATTCAAGCTCTCCATTCGTATATTACCTAAGGAATAATACCATTATCATGTAATAATGTCAGAGGCACAGGTGCTTCTCACCTTTGTTGATTGCCATGGTTATACCCGAGTTTAAAGGCACACTCACACTAGGCAATCTATATCGTGCCTAAGCACACTTCACCCCTAAAGTCCAGTTCATTTGACTATTGTGAGTGCTCCGATCAGTACACGTCCTTCGTCAGTACCCGTACCTGTGCTTAAGCAAGGTACGGGACAACTTTGCCTTGTCTGAGTGCGCCCTAACACTTCTGTGTCGGCAAAAATATTTTTTTAAGCTTGATAATAGCTCACTTTGCTAAGCGCCCTGTAGGAATCACTGAGTTCTGTAAATAGATCAATCATACTAACATTTGATAAAGGAAGCAAAGAACTAAGACTCATTAGTAGTGGTTTTTTAAAGCAGGAACAGCAACAACAAAAGATAAATAGCTTTTATCTTTTTCTGAAACAAACCAACAAACAAAGCCAATCCCATGCCAAGTCAGGTTCTTCCCCTTTAATATCTTTAACCTCTGGGTGCAGTTTGGATTCAATCAGAATAGAATTAAATTTAATTTCAGTCAAGACATCCACTGCTTCTGTACCATACAAAGAACTTACTTTCAGAAAATAGACTGAATTGGAACAAAGGGATATCTACATTATTTAATGTTCAACTATTACAGCTAAATGCTGAACAGATAACTCCAACACAGCATAGTCTTTGTGAGCCTAAAAGGAAGAGAAGGCACTTTTAGTCATTAGTCACAATGTTCAGCCAAACCAACACACATCTAGTAAGATGGTCAACTGTTGGTTAGAGTTACAGACACAAAAAAAGGGGCTACATGCTGGGACACACATTACATCCAAAGAGAAGAGGATCAGAGTGAATCTACATTAGAGACGGTGGAACGGGTGAAAGCTGCTAAGAGCACAAGCCCAGAGAGAGACTTACTGTGTGCACCCTGGAGAGGCAGGGCAGCGGCAAACTCACCCACACTGCGGCTGGATGAGAGCACAGTGAACGCTGGCAGCCAGAAATCAAAGAAGGGGGGGAAGAAATGGGGTAATGAGCAATGTAAGAAAGGGCGGAAAAACTAAACATGCGTGAACTAAACCAGAGGTAAAAAAAAACTAAAAAAAGCGTGAAGTCAAGGCAAAACAACTGCTGCAAAAGCAAAGGATGAAATACATGTGACATCGAATGGACAGCTTAGGGCAGATAGTAGAGTCAGTGTCTGTGAAAAAAGGATTATCCTACAAAGCCATGAGAGAGAAAGGAGCTTTATCCATCAAGGGGTAAGCATAGGAAAGAGATCACTGTGCAGCTCTACACCAAAACAGAATCGTCCAGCAGAGGGCACTGTAGTGCACCCATTTCTTAGAAGAGAGTAAGGAAACCTAGTTGGGGTGTTTGTGTAATACAGTCACTGTACAGTTTTTTAATGTTGTAGAGAGCTCAGGTGAAAAGGCCAGCCCCTTACAGGTGAGCAAAAACAAGTTTTAAATAACATGGTTCCTATTCATGTCATATCAAAGTGCATGAAGGGTTCAGAGAGGGACATGAGAACAGAGGTATGTTTGAGACAACAACATACCACATTCAAACACTAGCTTCATAAGCCAAGCAAGTTTAGACTAAACCACACTGCAAAAACACCTTATGTATAAGGTGAAGGTCGTATGAAATCTTTTAGATTTTAGAATCACTAGAAAATGAAGTATTTTCAACAGATCACATATTTAACACATTCATTCTCCCGGTAGCCTCGTGGTAAGTACATGTGCCTCGTGTACAGAAGCTGAAGTACAGAAGTCCTCGAAAGCGGGCGGCCAGAAGTTCAAATCCCACCTGTGGCTTCTTTGCTGCATGTTGTCCCCTCTCTCTCTGATTTCTGACTATATCCACATTTTTTGTGAAGTGTAAATGATGATCAGAGGGTAACCTGCATGAAATTACCACTCATCAGTCTAAAAGGAAGTTTTGAAAGTGTGTACAAATAGCAGCATGATAAAGATTTATTTTTGGGCTTTTATGCCTTTATTTAGAGACAGGACAGAGGATAGAGTCAGAAATCGGAGAGAGTGGGGTGCGAGATTTGGGAAAGGAACCTGGACCGCCAGTTTGGAGGCAATAGCCTCCATACATGGGGGGTGCGCACAAACCACTAGGCTACCCGCGCCCCAACTTTTGTTTCTTTTGAGCAAATCTAGAAAAACTACTTTTAGATTTCTTGCTTACTTTATGTTTTAGAACTGACTACTGAAACTACTAGAAACACAGAGGACATTCTAATCAGACACTTTTATAGACAGTGTGCATATTAAACGTTTTTAGAAGCACAGCATATGTATTTGAACAGTTTAAAAACAAACACTTTTTTCAGCATATTCAGTCCATTTTTGGTAAGAAAATGAGATGCTTAATGTGCATAAAAAAACCTTTGAGCATGCTGTTTGTGTTAAGCCTATATGAACGATACATATGTGCACATTATATCAGCTTGTCTTCATGTAAGAGTGATTTGTATGTTTGTAAGCTGTCCAGTGAAGAGAACTTGGTCTACCTGTATTAGAGGGATGGAAGGGGGCTTGGGATGCGGAGGGGAAACCACCTGTCGACCCAGACGTGCTCCCGAATGCATCAAAATTAGCAAAGTCTGCATTTGCGTTGGCATTCTGTGTCGCTGGAGGTGGTGTCAGGATGAGTGTCAGACATACAGATGAACAAAAAAAAAAAGCACAATGAGAAGACAACACCAGATGAGATAATAATAGAATGGATTTAAACGTATAAAGAAAAAAATGGACAACAAAACTCACAATGGATGATGCGCTAAATATAAAAGATAATCATAGAGTGACATAACCAGGTTTAGTGCATGGTGGATGAAAAGGCAGACAAGATAGTCTGTTGTTTACACTCTCCCATGAGTTACTGTCAGAAGTCCTTGTTGAGCACAGAGCAATGAGCATTGTGTGAGTGTAGCCCTAAACACACCATTCGTCTCGGGGGGGGGGGGTGAATCTGTGCCCATGTTTGAGGAAATGTGTGGCAGCATGTTAGTAACTGCACTCAGAGTGCGTCTTGATAGCTCTACGTGGGGGAAATGAGAGGATATTATCCTCCATGGAAGGCACACACTAATAGCCCTATGTTACAGGCATTAGTAGCCATGGAGATGTGTTCGTCTGTGGCATCACGAGCACTATTTCATAACATAAGTTATTCAAATCCTGGAGGTACATGGCTGCTGACACTTCTGATTCTGTACGTCCTGAAACTTCTGCCTCCGTCTCGCAGAGAAGGTAAATGGTACCCCACATCAATCAGCTCACAGCTGTCTCTGTAAACACCTTCAGCATTTTAAATATCTTCAACATAAAAGGGAAGTGAACTATTACAGCATCTGAATACTGTTCTACACAAGAAGAGGTAAACATACTTTTAGACACATTAGCTGACATTTATGATAATCTTCAACTGCAGTTAGATCCCTGTAGCATTTAACTTATGATCAATCATAAATGAAAACACGCATGCATATGACTTGTTGCCCATGGTTCAGACTAAATGACAAACATTTAGATATGCTTAAGGGACATTGCATTTATTGCTCATTTCCTGCATTTCCTCATCACTTTATGTCTCAGCATGCCACTTTCCTGTGTTTAATGCCAAGTTGAGAGGGTATTTTCTAACTGTTGAAATTCCCCTGCACAGTGTCGAAACTCCTGCCTTAGATATTTTTACTTGATCACACACGCATGTGTTCCTTACTTGAGTGGCTGTTGAAATGTGCAAAGTTAGCAAAACTGGAGCTGGCGCCTGCATTCATGTTGGGCGGGGGGGCAAAGATGTCTCCACCCAAATCACTGAGGAGGTCAAACCTCTTGTCATGGAACTGCTGTGGGTGGCTTTGTCCACGGCTCACCACTGGAGACTGGTGGAGACAAGACACAGATTTCATTAAAGCTGCAGGTATGTGTTGATCGATGTGCAAAAGACTGTGTACATCTGACTTTTTGAAACTGATTGTAGGAGTCACTCTGTGGCTAAAAAGTGCTTTTACATTCATATAAAAGCAGAAATAAAAACAATTGGGGATAATAGTCAACCAATAACAGTAATATTAATCAAAGTTTAAAGCCTGAAAACATGGCTTCTTCTAACATGATTAAAATAAATCACTCAGTGCTAATGATTCCTGGTAGACACAAGTTTAAAGTTTGTAGACATAAAAAAAAAAAAAAATTTGGAAGTCACTTATTGCAACAATCAAAACCTCAGAATTCCTCTTTATCAGGCAGACTCAGTCATCTCTTGCTGCTTTCAAATCATTGCAAACAAATGACTCAGACTGACATATTTTCCACAGGAAATCTAAGGCACAAACTGAACATTTATTCCTGTGTCTTAAATGCTTTAAAAAAATACTGGGAGAACTTTAATGCTCTGATATGTTTCTTTAACGGTGAATATAAGAGTTAATTTGTCATAATACTCAGGATGTCATACTTCAAGTAATCCATTTATTTTACCTCAGCTGCAATAAAACCCTTTGCCAATAAATGAAAATTCAACATGTGTACTTTCTTGTGTACATACTGAAACAAATCTCACTTGATTAGGTGGGGTGTTCTTGTTGAGGTGCAGGGAGGGGGCAGAGTCCCCCAGCAGGGACTTAAGTGGTCTGACCTCAGGAGTGCTGCTGGTGCTGCTGTTGGAGGAGCCAGAGATGGAAGCATGGACGGATGCCACTACCTTGGCCTGCTCGGGTGGTACGTACCTGGCCAGACAGTTCAGATAACAGGTGTTACAATAAACTTTACGCCAAGCAAGAAAGGGAGAAGAGAGGGGCCCATGTGAGGGAAAGTGGCTGTGTGTAGTAAGTCTCGTCCAACTCAAAGCAAACACTTTCACATCATCACAGCCTTAACTTTCAGGTGTTACCTAATAATCAATTTGAGGAACAACATTCCTATTAATGATGCATCAAAGAACATCATTAAACTAATATCTACAAGTGGTGAGCAGTTGAGTCTTCAATTGCAAATATTCAACAGACAGGCACTTGTTCAGCCATGTTTGCCTTCACTTTTACTTGTCTTAACTGCACCCATTAGTCAACACAGTCAGCATCCATAATGGGAACTTTTGAGTGGGACAACTATACTTAACTTGCATAGTTGTACTAAATTAACCTGTAACCTCATGGAAAAACTGCATCTTGCACATAAAGCAGCTTGACTTTCAAAACCTACATTCTTTGCCTTTATCTGCCGGCTTGCTGGAGACTAACTTCTGTGAGCTGCTTGGTAGACATTCCAAACCAGAGAGAGAGAGAAACACTGGCAAAGCCGCTTGTCCGCACAGGCAGAGGATAATTCATATATTTGCAATGTGTGCAAAAACTAACTGACCATCTCTTCTTCTCATATTTCTCCTGAAGGAACTCCTTGACTTTCTGTGGTTCCCTGAAGTCTGGTATTGAGGAGGTCCTGTCGTCATAAAGGCCCAGCCAGATCGGCTTACACACCTGGAACAAAACAGAGCAGGAGAGGAATGACAGGATGCGTTATGTGCGTTATCAAAGTGATGATGGCGTGGTTCAGCCTTAAAGCCTGTGAGTGCAGGTTAAGATCGAAAGAGCATTCAGTCATATTTGGGAGAGGTATGCCATGTTGAATAGTTGTTAGGTGAAAAATCTGTCTTATCCTCACCTTTCTCTGACCTTGGCTTGAGAGTATTTGTAAAATATTTTAGGCAACATGCATGTGTGCCTTAAGGATGCTGCACTGTAGAGTAAGGCACTGCTAGACTTTCAAGTTACTGTACATACATCAGATGTTATTTCTTTAGCTGGTTTTGGTCCATATGTGCAGCGACACTGAATGCACATGAATGATCACTCTATTTTTAATGATCAGGATCGTAATTCTTCAACTGTAGGACATACAGTATATAAAGTGCATTGAGTTTCAGCTGTTTTTTTTACTGTCAAATGCTCTCAACCTGAGGGAAGCAGTACTTTTATAGCAGCCTTGAAGGATGTATGCATCATCTCTAGCCTTGAGTCTCATGTATATGTGCCTGCCCTGACACTTTGCTTCAGCTTTTAATAGGCTGTACTTCCCAGGTGGCATTGCTCTATTTCATACATCGTTTACCAGAACTGGCTAGCGAGTGAGAGTGTTTCTCTGTGTGGTACAAATAGTGACACTTTGGGGCTGCAGACTTTTCAAAGAGACTCTCACCTCAAACCATTTGTATTATTTGACATTTTATTTCTTACTTTGATCTATTAACACTTTGTAATATGGTTGAAAAATGTAACGTTGCCTGATCAAGTAATTTCTGTTTACATTTTCAACTTAAGAAAAAGGCGAGTAATACTAGTAGCCTTGAAGAATTCTATTGATTTCCAGCGCTGTCCTGAACTTGTTGGCGCAATAATACCCAGAAGAAAAAAGATGTTCATAATGTTCAAAACTAGGCATGCATTCATTTAGTGCAGAAAAAACCCAGAGAGAGAGAGAGCGATAGAGAGTAACCATCTTATTGAAATGTACTTTATCTTCTAATGGCAAAGTTGAGGCTCACAACCCTGTCTTACTCGCTTTGGATAACATGATACTAAACTAATTGCCAACTTCCACATCCATCAGACACAGGGCTCAATGTAATGATCCCAGTGAAGACAGCTGCCTGATTACCTGATGAAAGTATGTCGCAATATGATACAATGCACCCAATGTTAATGAGAACTAAAACATTAAACCCAGAAGTTAATGTTTTTAGTTGTTGGGCCAAGAAAACACACTACAAACAAACAAACCCCAATGAACAACACACACGGCTTTTGAATTGTCCACAGGCATTAGCCTTAATGCTAAAACCAACAGTTATTCAGACCAGTAAAAGAAAAGAAAGATAGTAAGGCGCTAGCACTGCTATCGTTAACTACTGTAAAATACAGATTATTCATTTTAAAAACATAAGGTAGCAATATTCAATCTAGATAATATGTGGACAAAAGCTAAATGTGTCTTTATTCCTTTAAAAAGCGTACAAGCTTGACATATTTTTCCATGTTCTTATCTCAGGCCTTGGCCTGTGACGGGCCAAAGTGCTTGGCTAAATCCCAAACTCCACAATCGCAGACTTTGAGGCATATTACCGGTAAGTGGGTGAGTGTTGAGTGTCTTCCCACTGTGAAATCTCACTGTCATGAAGTGCATGAGGGCTCTGATGCAAACTTTTCAATGGCAAATTACACACTTTCCGTAAGTCTGCATATCTACTGAATTTTTGTTGGACTTACCCAGAGCTTACCTCTAACTTGGTGACGTGGAGGATGTGGTCGTACAAAATGTCTATCTCCACGTAAATGAAATGTACTCATGTATGCTTTTTTCTGTAATTCTGTAAATCTTTCTATACGATTTTCATAAATTACAGAAAATGCTTTACAAAAAAGCATACATGTTGGATTGACAGCAGATAAAGGATATAACAAGGTAACATAAAAAGAGCCAAACTCCAATGGACAGTCTGTATAGCACACCTGGTGAAGCTGCAGGAGAGTTGACCTCAGCCTTAACAACTGTGACAGGGCGGAGTCACCATGCTCACCTCATTTCCATGTTTCTGTAGGAACTCGATTTCCTGTTGTGTGAAGGTTGTCATGGAGATCGACTTGACTCTGTGGGGTGGATTCAGCCCTCGTCTGTGGGTGGAGAAATGGAAACAGGGTTCAATCTAATCTAGAGACATTGGTGACGACAGCTGGACAATCTCCAGATCCAAGCTCACAGGACAGCGTCTTTTAATTAGCAACAAAGTGACAGGCTGGTACGACAGAATCACAGAGAGAAATGACAGAGACAAACACTCAAAGGACAAGACAGGGAGTGAACAGAACAGTAGGAGATGGGTGAAACTCTCTGCTAATTGCCATAGCCTGAACTGAGGCTGTCAGCACAGTGACAGAACGAGTGATCTCCCTTAATATAGAAACTTCCATTATGAAGTAACACCCATTAGACCACACAAGCCTGGCTCAGATTCCTCCGAAGGTCACAGCTAATGCCACAACGGCCACAATTAAAGACGCCTCCTAGCTTTAATGGTTGAAAGAGCCAGCATCAGGCTATTATATTAAGCTGTAGGCATGCTTGTAAGTGAAAGTGCAATGCTGGCTTCAAGGTCGCAACATGTTTTGTCTGTGAAGGTGACCAATCAGCATCAGTTATGCAAGCAGATTATTTTAACTGCGAGTGAGATTGCTGAGCCGCTGGAAGATGGAAAAGGCAACTTATTTAAATATTATAAACTGGAACACTAGTACAGTGACTGTAAGGCCACTAGCCAATCAGATCAATTCCATTGAGGCTGATAATTCAAATATCATTAAGATTCCTTTTGGAATAAAATGTGACCTTAAATATCTGTTCCCCTTTTTGTCTTTATCTGCCTTCTAGCAAATGCATGTCAGCAGCACAAGGTTAGCAGCTGCATTCCTCTATCAGGGTCCTTGACAGTATACAACAAGTATAACACGTACCCCAATTAGGAGAAAAGTCGATCTTCTCCGTCTTCTGCCTGCTCCACTTTTCAGAAATGTGTACTAATGTGTTCTCATACAGGCCGTTCCCTTAATGAAATCACAAAGGGAAGTTACCCCTCCCCCAGGTGTGTGAATATATTTAGGTGCAAATATAACAGCTGACAAATCTGGTTGACTCTCTGTGGATAAAAAATGTCACACTAGTGGAGCGTTATTGTACTTCACTTACATGTTGGCCAGCATATTCACAGATGTCCATGAATCATTAATAAGCTAACATCAGCCAGTATACTGGCCAGGTGGGTTTATCTCTAGAGCTCATAGTGCTACTATTCACTACCAAAACATGTAAAAATGTCCCAAACATGTTTAAGTAGGGCATATAACAAAGTGAATCTGTAGTAGCTATTTATGACTTACTTTAACAAACTTGCTCAACTACCCCAGTTTCTCCAAGCTTTTCAAAGCCTTTCTTTAACTATTGGGCTATGTTTCCAAGTTCTCTGATCAAGCAGCTGTTCCTTTTACATATTTTAATATCATTTTGCTCACAATGGCTGTGAAACCTCCCTTGTGACTTTCTGATTCAGCTCGTCTGGCAAATGGGTGGGCCTGCAGGTTAAAGAAATATTTTTTTATCATTTTAGTGTCATTTGTCCTGATATTATTTCCAGCACCAGCAGCACTCTTCAACAAAGACGTTGATCTAAAAGCAGACACAGAACATAGAGCTTCACTTGACTTTTCTGCTGTTTCTGTGTGAACTATTTCCACTGTTCCACTCTCATGGTGTACTAAAAAAAAAACACCAGATACACATACTGTTTTTCTGTCATGACATGTTTAAAGAAGTCTTGCTGCACACTCCTCCTCAAGGCACCTTAAGGTGTGGCAGAACCACCACACTTGGAAATTAGATCCACAGTGTAACTATTACAAACACAACGTAATACACATAGGAGTCAGCTCCTAAAGGCGGTGAAACACTAGACAAGTGTGCTGAATTATTTACTTCTGTTACCCCTGACAGAACATGTTCTTATCTCCAACTTTTCTTTTTCACATCCACCAATCAGCTGGCTGTTCCTTAAGCACAAATATATTGTTAACAGTTTAGACTGTCAATGAATAAATAAGTCCACACTGTCTGTATGGTTTCTTCAAACTGGCTGAGTCAACTTGCTTCAAGACGAAAGAAACAGAAAGCAGATACGAAGTGAAATATCCCTGCTGAATCTAGAACAAAGTTTTACATAGCTTTACCTCAACATGCAAAGGATCCATTGGATCTACTCGAGTTGTTTCCAGGTGTAACACTTTGTCAACTACAGGCGAAATGTAAGAAACACCTCTGTTGTTCATTCTTTACAGGATCGGCCATGAAAAGAAACACTGCTTTAACACAAAATGGTTCAATAGAAAAAAATGATAATGCTGAATGATAAAGACTCTTTTTCGTTAAGATAAATCTTGGAGTGGTGATGGCCTAGTGGTTAGGTGGTGCCCCATGTACGGAGGCTATAGTTCTCTCCAAGTGGGTGGCCTGCGTTCAAGTCCGGCCTGCGGCTCCTTCCCTGTATGTCATTTCCCACACTCTCCCGATTTCCTACTATCCTATCAAATAAAGGCACAAAATAGATCTTTAAAAAAAGATACATCTTAACATCTAAAAGGTGATTATAATACAATATTAGATTTATCCCTACCCAAATTACCACAAAAGTTCTTCAAGAAAGTAGAGGATTGAGAGTGTGAGCCCTGCGGTAGATAAGTGATAAGATCCTACAGTACAGTCTCATGAAGATGAAACTAGGTCAGATACAGTGAGAAAGCTTCCAAGCCCTGAAGGTCTAAAATGAAGGCAGGATCTCTACACAGTTGTTCAATAATGGTTAGCTGATACAGGTCTTTTTTACGTGTTTGTTCATTTGCAGTTAGAATGCATTAAACACATTAAATACATTTCATCTGCCTACCTTTTTAATTCAATATATTTCTCATCTTACACACAAATGGTTAAAGTGGGAATCATATTACAATCATCTCACATCGAGAAACATAAACTGTCAGGTGCTTCCTCTGGTCTGGACTCCAAGGTTTTACTGAGCCAGGTGTTCAAATGTTCTACAGTCCCACACACTCCTATTTTGGCAGAACAGATTAGTCATACAAAAGTGAGTGTATTCAGACAGCAGTTAAATCATTAGGATAAAATATAGAACTAATAAAACAGCTTCATAAATCTGAATCTTTTACTCGTCTGCAGTTTGTGAGAGAAACAGAAACAATGTTATCACCTATTTTCACCTCATGTCTATTGGATAGAATAGAGTGACAGTCATAGTATCACATATTGCACAGTGAAATAATTATGACCTAGGCGCTACTGTGCATCAGACCAGCTCATTTGCATACTGTATCAGCTCCGGGGTGAAAGAAACTGGCAATGGTAAGTCTCAAAAGAGAGGAGGGGCGATGCACCATCCTTTTGTTTCTTCATAAAATGTGCACAAAATGCTCGCTTTTACAATTGATCCAGTAATTTACTCATGTTTTATCACTGAAAATGCTGACTCTGCAATGTCATGGCTTCCAGTTTTATCTACAGCGCTTCATAGACACAGTGACTTTTTTTTTTGTTGAGAAATCAAATGTCAGGGTCAAAGGGAAAACCAAACATGCTCATTTTCACAGTTCAAGTCATATCTGCTAACTTGCCAATGATTAATATTATCCCAGGCAGTTGGTGCCAGTGACACCTTCTGACCTATTTGTTATTCTCTAGTCTCATGCTCGAGCCCTGCTTACTCAGGAACACACAGGCCAAGTGGGGTTACTTCCTGCCTTGAGCAATTCTCTAGAAAGAGACATTGTGCATGGTGTTCCTCCTGGGAACGCCTCCACCTTCATAAGGAATGTGTTTACATTGGAGATTCCAACTCCACCCATTTAACAACCTGAAACTATGTGGGGGAGACGGTTGTGGTGGGTATAGTCACTCTTAATCAGTTAAACACTGTTAATACCTCAAATTAAAATGGAGGGGGGGGGAACTTGAATGGTTGTATTTGCATTCTTCTGTTATATGAACTGGTTAGAACTTTAAACCAGAGACATAACCTTACTTGGTAAATACAAACTGTATAGAGAGATAGCTTTCTCTGTTGATGGAATCTGCTTTCCAAAATAAAACAAACCCTTCCCTGTGCTAATGAAAAAAAATCTTAGAGCGTGTACTTCAGACAATAATTATAACAACGTATCAGATCTGAGCATGAGTCAAGGAAAGTTCTCACAACCGAAATACGTTTGCCTGACTTGAACTAAAAGGAAAGAGAGAGGTAAGCCGTGACCTCTCTGCCACATCCTGTGGCACATGTCACAGCACATGCTGCTGATGTAGCAGCACAGTCGGGCCATACCACTTCCTGAGTCTACAATCACACCAGGCTTCCTGTGTACAGGAATCCTTTCAACCACACACTCTTCTTTTGCAAATGAAATTCCAAACAACAGCAGCATTAATTTGTCTGCATAAAGTACACGAGAGAATTGCGATCTGAAGCTATAAAAGAAGTCAATTAACTGGCATAACGGCTTTAATACCATAGGGTAAGCAGATGGGGAAATTCACAGAGGAGTCCCAGTGGACCCACTGGTGAAGTGAAATAGAGGGCAAACTCTGCCCATCAGCAAACACATTATTAATCTCGTTCTATCAATTCTACAGTAAAAAATATCTATATTTCAAGTGGAGACAAGCAGATTAAGGTCACAACATGGTCTGTATATGAAGTAAAGCGTGAAGAACAAGAGGTGGGACATTTGCATACAGTTTCCATCTGTTTCACTGTAAACATAAAAAAGGTCATTTAGGAATTACTGAGCAACAAATATTTCCGTCTCCATTGGAACATTATATTCATTACTCACCAACGGAAATTATATTTTGATTAAGCATTTAGAAGGACCTACGTAGGCTGCTTACTGTCCGAACGAGGACAGAACAGGACGGAAGAATGAGCAGTCTATTAAGTTACCAGTTAACAGCAAACTGCCACTTTGCTCTCCTTAAATGTTTTCATTCACAAAGGCTTGTGATAAGTAAATATATGTGATAGGTTAAGGAAAAAAAAAAACCCAAGGTAAAACTATGTAGCTATAGCTATAAACTATCCAGGTCAGAGCGGGGCTTCATGGGAAAGAGAGATACAATTCTGAATTTAAACAATTGTGTGAGAACATTGTGTTGCTATGGTTGGTAACCAGTTTTAAAATCATCTGAACAATGAAGTGCAACTACACTCCTTCTTCAAAGACGCTGTACAGAAGGAAAACTGAGCCGCAGTAGTAATTAATGTGTATGGGAGCATATTGCATAGTCTGTGAACCAGATGTCAATACTCAAACGACGAGGAGTGCTGTAATCATTCTTCAGAGAAGCGTTATTATGTGCAGATTACCACAATGTCATGCTATGTCAGATACATAAGGGAAACAATACCTCAAAACAGAATTGGGGTGTTAATTATGCAAAAGATTGAAAAAAATGATCTATAAAAATCATGCATTCATTTGTCATTACCCCACTTTAGATTTCATTTTACATGTGGCTGACATCACACACAGACACACACACACACACACAGACACACACACACACCAGCCAACATGCAACATCTGACGGCTGAAGTGAGGTGGGATATCTTAAGCTGAATAAGAAGAAATGGAATGCATCACTAATCCCAAAATCACAGGCTACAGATGCTTGGTTACACAACTGCACAGCAAAGCTTTAATTCAGTCAGGCAAACGCTGTCTAACGTCGCACCATCGAGCAAGACTAAAAGCATCACTCTGGATATATCACACTGTCGCTAGAGACAAATGGCGGATAGAAGTGGTTCAACAAGGGGGTCAGCGTTGCAAGAGCGCATTGCTAATGCTGCTACATTTGTCATTGTGCATCTAGATTATTAAAGTCTTTATGAATAAGATTACTACTACATTATAGTTTATGATAGCGTCAAACATCAGGATGTCATTGTCAGTCACAACTAGATACTATGAGGCTATTCCACGTCCAACATGTGACTAGTAACATTTAGCAACAAACAAACAAACAAAAAAAGCTTAATTATTATTCCCTTACAATGGTTGTTTTAAGTACAATAACAAGTCGCTGCATCAAACAATAGTAGATATGAAAAATGGAGCATTTGATGTTCTTTCCATGTGTATTTGTATTCAGGAGGGTAACAATAACCGCATCAGTAAGCTTAGTTATTGGTGCTTCCAGTGGTTACAAGTGTAGCAGCTGGTTACTCCTGACTTATCAAGTAGACTAGACATAGCCTGCAAGATCATCTCACTTTGGCTAGCACTGAGAGCTAAAGTTGGCCAGTATCTAGGGTGGTTGCTTAGTTAGCTTGCTCTGCTAAACACTGACACCCCTATGCACCCCGCCCAACACTGCAAGACAAGACAATGTCAAAGTAGCTGAACTCCCACTGGCACAACTGGATGACTAAGTACCGTTAGCTAGCGCTAGTTCGGCTAACTGGTTTAAGATTCCGCATGTGGCTAATTGGAGGAAACCAACGCGTTATGTCGTCTGCGCCATGTCTACGCTAAAGGTCACTGAGCGACAAGAAACTTACAGGATGCCAGAGCAGGAGGTGCAAACGAAGGAGCCCACGGTCATATTGGCATAGGTTGGGCCGCGCTGGTCGCAGTCAAAGCACTTTCTGTTGGGAGGCAAACTCGTCATTTCTCTCAGCATCTTTAGGTGTTTCTCCTCTTGTTTTCGTTTTGCACTCGCCGCCATGGTGAGGGGATGTACGGCAGGGTTACGTTAAGTCAGGGAAGACTGGAGGGTCTGCTACACCTAAAAAACAAAGGTCTGCTGCCAGTCCGTGCTAATGACAGGGATGGAAAGGGTAGCTCTGTTGTCAGGGGGTGGTGGTGGTGGTGGTGGTGGTGGTGGTGGGGGCGGGGGCCTCGCGTCTCCTCAAACAAGGAGTTTTCAGGCGTTGGATCTCGGTTTCTACCGGAACAAGATGTAACCGTGTCGTTTACTTCCGCGCTTCGTTTAAATCCCGCTGCGCAGAAAACTACATCTCTTTGGGTCAGCGATATTTATGACAATCTCATGTCAAGATCTTAAAATTTACAGTCCATGGTCAAGATGTTTGCAGGACTGAAAAGGTTATTCGAGCTTGATCTGCTAGGAGACGATATTACTAACTCGCAAGATCTGATGTCGTGAACGTAATGCGTGTTACGCACTTTCGATAGGCGTCTATAACCAACATTAATTTAAATAATGTCGTTTATATACTGGCGACTGCATATTAGTTTGACTGTAGTTATGAGATCATGCAATTAAATTAGGAATTACTGTTAATTGAGAGGGCACGACATTATTTGTCCGAGGTATTTCTCATGAAAACCCGAAGCACTTCGAAGGTTAAATTGAAGAAGTGAACTATCTTGTCTATCAAACGGACCTCTTTGGTTGTACTCATGACAGTTCAAAGCACGCTACTGGTCTTTCGTAAAGACATCAGCGCCTCCATGCGGATTAGCATTGGTACTGCATTAATAATATGAAGGGCTATAACTAAATGCGCAATCAAAATGTTTCTTTCTTAGAATTAGGATTGTGATACACTTTTAACGGCATTTATAACTAGCACAAACAAAATATGTAATGGTCTATGTAGTTGAAACTTTTGTGAGTTAATGCCAGAAAAAAAAAACTGGGCAAATATTCAATTGATAAATGGAAATGATTTGGTCAAATCCTTGTGCCGTGACTTTAACACTTGCAATTTAACCATCCGTCAATTTACCTCATACACACCCCAGACAGGTCACCTGTTAATCTTAGGGCTGAAATATAGAGCCAGCAGGTTCACTTCAAAACCTTCTTGTTGTAAGGCAACATCATTACCCACACACCGTGCCCCCAACATGTACAACACATTACAAAAAATATTAATTCAAGGGATCAAATTTACATCACCTGATTAATCTGGGGTAGGAATATATATGATGTATGGGCGAAAACAGTGATGGTTAATAAACGAGCATAAGAATAGGTATAATGTATAACGTTTTATTACATATCAGCAATATGTTATAAAGAATGGTTAAGTAATCCAAACATAAATGTAATATTTACAAGAACAACCAGATATCAGTTTGATTTTGTGCCATATACTACTGGTCCAATACCTTCCAGCTATGAGACCAGTGGATTTTACTCTTAAATATGTTATCACATTTCTTAATATTTGGTTTTGTATGGCCAATAATGCTGAGAACTCGCTCTCTCTCATGTGGAGGAAGTGACATTTAAATACCCAACACAAACAATCCTGATACGTCAGCAAAAGCGCCGTTGCTTTATTAATTGCTGACGGCTGACTGAATTAAGGGCTTCTGATGCTGCTGCTGTTGAGAGAAGTCAAAGGGTCTGCGGTTCTCGGTATAGCCGAAGAGTTTCCTGAGTGCCACACGAGCTGCTTCTTCCTCAGCGGCTTCAAGTGTCTCTCCTGGACCCTGAGCCAGAAGCTTTTTGTCGCTGAATCAACACATAGAAAAGCGAAAACAAAACATTGGTAAAACAAGCAGATTATTCAATGAACACCATGAAGTCCCTTTCTGAATTAACATGGATTTAATCTCTGTAATTCATCCATTACAGCACCCACAACACTATACATACCTGTACAAGCCAACAAAGTATAGTGGCAGGACGGTGCTGGCTCCAGCAGACCTGATGAGACGAGGCTCGGGAAGAGGAATTTCCCTCTTTGTGAGCTCCTCCACCAGCAGTCCCATTGGGTTGACAACTGTCCACATGTCAAACAGGTCCTTTCCTATCAGCTGAGTGACCAAGAAATCCTACAGCAAGGGGAAAAGAAAAAGGAAATTAGCACACAAACAAATCCTAATTAAAAGACATTATTTGGACACATGACAGCAAAAACAAACGAGTAACCATCATGATTTTCCTCAAGCCTCTTACCCTGAGGAAAAATCCAGTGCGCTCAGCTCCACTACTTTCCTGTAGAGCTCCAATAACCGCCGTGAATGTAGAATAAAGAACGTTATCAGGTACAGGGCATTCTGCACTCATGGCAAGGTCTTCAATGCCAAGATTTCTTGCAACATGGGACATGACCGCTGAGCTGGTGAGGTGCCGTACAATACTATCCAGTCCATCATCTGGCAGGCTGGGGAAGCTGGCCCTGCACCAGTCAGTCAGGAAGCTTTTGGTGAAATCGACTCCTTTTTCACTCAGCTGAGTGTTATCGTCCAGAACAAGAGCAGTGTTCTCAGGGTCCACACCTAGCCCCTGTCTCCTCTGCAGCTCCGCCTGCAGGTAACAAGGGTTGATGAAGGCTGTTTTCAGCAGCTCAAGGGAGAAGTTCTCCTGGAGGCGGCTGCTGAAAGCCTGAACCTCAGCCTGATAATCCCAGGGAGATTTTTGAGAGCTGAGAAAGAAAAAAAAAAAAAAAAGTGAAACAGAATTAACTCTGGAGTCTTGACTTCCTCTATGAATATTGTGGTGAGCCATGCAGACAGTCCTAACTATTCAACACTTAATGTGGTTAAAAAAACACTATTCTAAAATAAAAACAGAGAATAAACTAGAGCAAGAGAGACAGACCTTGACCTAACTGTGTAAAGGAGCCATCATTCCTTACTGTAGAAACTTTAGAACACACAGACACAGACACAGACACAGACACACACACACACACACACACACACACACACACACACACACACACACACACACACACACACACACACACACACACACACACACACACACACACACACACACACACACACACACACACACACACACACACACACACACACACACACACACACACACACACACACACACACACACACACACACACACACACACACACTCACCGTGGCGTCGGCGCTGGAGGTCCTTCGACCTTTAACTTCTTCGCCATGAGGTATGTGTAAGCTTTCATCCATCGTTTCTTCTCTCTCACTTGCGTTAATGACACGTTCCTGCAAACACGCTGACAGTGAATCCCGAGCGTTAGCACACCACGATTTAATATGTACCCGGACGCCATGTCGATCAATGTCGGCAGTGTGTGCAACTACCAAAACCGCCCGACGCGGAACAAGAAACAACATCCGGTCTGCCAGACGGTCCCACCGTAATGAACCGAACAAGCGTAACCATGGCAACTAACTCAAACGTTAACGCCAACGTTAGCAAGTACAGCAGACGGCTGAGTAAAGTTTGAGGGACTCTCATTAAACACAGAGACGATAAGAAGTAAGAATTCATTTATATCCGGCTTATAATCTATTTTGTTATTGCTCTTATTTATGTCTATTGTTAAAGGACAGGAAACAATGGGAGACCAAGTGTTGACAGCGACCGAAACGGGAGCTGGAGATGTCGAAATGACTTCTTCAATAAGCTGGGTGGATGATGTGACAAAGGAGGGGGCTCAAGACTTAAATGGAAATAACAATCATTTTCAAAGCCCACTTCAAGAGAAAAAAGAAAAACCTTCAGGACCACGAATGACCAAGGCCTTCCTCAAAGACCACTGTAAGCAGAACAAACTCTACTCAACACCTTGCCTGAATGACACACTGTATCTGCATTTCAAAGGATTCTCCATCATTGAGAACTTAGAGGAGTACACAGGACTGAGGTGTCTCTGGCTGGAAAGCAATGGCCTTCAGCGCATCGAGAACCTGGATGCCCAGAGTGACCTGCGCTGCTTGTTCCTTCAGCAGAACCTCCTAAACAAGCTGGAAAACCTGGAACCCCTGAACAAGCTCTGCACCTTAAATGTGTCCAACAACTACATACACAACATTGAGAACATCTCCTGTCTTCCTTACCTGAGCACGCTGCAGATTGCCCATAACAAGCTGGAGACTGTGCAGGACGTAGAGCATCTGAGTCAGTGTCTGGCTATCAGCGTGCTGGACTTGTCGCACAACCTGTTGCACGACGCTGACATACTCCCCATACTCGAGGCCATGCCTGAACTACGAGTGCTGAATCTCATGGGAAATGACGTGGTGAAAAAGATCTCAAACTACAGGAAGACCGTGATCGTGCGCCTTAAGCAGCTCACCTTCCTCGACGATCGCCCGGTGTTCCCCAAAGACAGGGCGTGTGCAGAGGCGTGGGCAGCTGGGGGGCTGGATGGGGAGCGGAGAGAGAGGGAGCAGTGGGAAACACGAGAGAGAAGGAAAATCCAGGACAGCTTGGACGGCATGGCAAAGATTCGAAAGGATGCCCTGGAGAGAAAGCGCCTTCGAGAGCTACAGGAGAATGGTAAGCCGATTTCAGCTTTTACCACTTGTCTATATTGTGTAAACGTGGATTTGCATTTTTTTTTTTCGCAACATGCATTCTGTTTTAATTTAAGGGGCAACTGAGGCTTCTACCTCTCCGGAAACTCCATCTGAGGAAAATGACACCGAGATTTTGACTTCATCTGATGAAGAGAAGATCAAAGCCTTTGTGCAGGACAGCCTAGATGCCCATGAAGAGTTTTTGCAGAGTCAGTCAACAAATGGGTCTTATGAACATCAGCTTGACAGTGAACAGTCAGGGGCAAACTTTCAGAAAGATGTCCAGGGTAAAGCAACAGTGATGCAGCTTGTGAGAGAAGACGAAGAAGAGGTCAATCCAGAGTATTCAGCACAAGAGCAAAAGAGAATCACAGAAATGTTGTTGGAATCGGGACAAGATGATGGCCAGCAACACAAAAACCAGTCATGTGGAATTCTGTTTTTGAGAAATGAAGACGATGAGGGAGAGGCAGCAAACATGAGAGAGCAGTCTGAAAAAAAACCGCCTTCTCCAGTCAGGGCAGCTCCTCCTGCTGTGCCAGCTTGTGGTGCTGGACCATTGGTTACAGAGCTGGGAGACGAAGAGCAGCTAGAAACCATTTACCTCCCGTTACATCCCTCTCTGTGTATTGATGACCTGCCTGACCTTGAGGATGTGGACACAGAAGACTTCACAGAGCTATTTTCCTCTCAGCAAGCGTTTAAACCAAAAATAGAGCTCTTACCAGGTAGCAATGATGAGGACGAACCGACTGAGAGTCAGGAGGAAAACAGCCACACCCTTGACCAAGACAAAAACTTACTGTTCTTAATGGGTGACATCAACAGGTCAAAAAAGGTATCCGACAGCTTTTCACCACTGGTGTATCCAGAGGATGAGGATGCCTTTTTTGAACCAGTGGGACAGTCCAAATCAGCCCAAACCTCATCCCGATCCCGCTGCTTAATCGAGGAGCTGGAATGATACTTTCAGTGTTTAAAGCAGTTTTCAGATATTCCAGTGTTGAAATTTACAGTCTTAATGAGAGACTATATCAAATTTAAGAAATGGTTATGCTAAAGGTTGATAGACTGGCTGTGTGAGCATTGAATGCAATTCAAGGCACAGCTTTAATTATAAAAAAGATAGTTTAGATGTTACAAGTGTTGGAAGGAATTCAATGTCTAGCATATTTGAAATGAAATAAAATGCTGGCGACGTGGGTGTTAATTGTAACATGGCCTAATACAGAATAAATCTTACATGATCTTCAGTCTTTGTCTTTCTTGTGTAGCAATTTTTCCATGACTTTTCAATTTTCATTGCATTTTTAGAACACTACAAAATAGATAATAAAAAGAAATGGCTTCAGGTTCAGTCAATGTGTTCCTTCCTTACATAATAGCAAAATCATAGTGATGTATGCATTAGGGGTCTGCACAGGCTTGAAAATTAAGCCTGTTCCCAAGAGCTGCTGATGACTTAGAGGCCCGACTGTAAAGCAACATTTGAAGCCCGAGTCAAAACCCCTATTATCAGAAATAATTCTGAAAGCCACACATACTGTGAATTACACTATATGCAATAAAATACAGGACAACACATAATATGTATAGTTTTACTAAATGAATCACATTTCCCATCTCAAGTCACATATCACCCTTTCCACAATAAATATTCAACATATTACATCTGGACATCTCTATCTGTCTTTATTGGTAAATGATGCTATACTGTATCTCTGGAGTGACATGAGCTAATATTTACAACAAGTCATGCTTAGCATAGAGCAAGGAGATTTCTAATAAAACCAAAACACAAGAACATGAGGACAGGACCAAATAAGAGTAAAAAAATAAAACTGTACATGTTTTAAATAAACAAAACCAAATGATCAGCCCTGTGCGTAACAGACTAGTGCATGTGTTGTTGATGTCTTTCTCACACAGGGACTGAGTGCAGCGCAAAGCTAACATTTGACACATACCAGTAAAATAAGGGGATAATACGTTTCTTCTGTCACGGTGACGGCAGAAATATAAGCTAGCTCTAACGTCGCAACCACACCCAGGTGTTGACGAGCCAGAAAGCTACAGTCACAGAGTACAGGATCATTTCGCGCTTGGCTCGCTCCTTGTTCTCCTCTTCCAAATGTTGGAGCCTCCGGTTTAACTTGATGAGCTGCAGATTCAAAAAGAAAAAAAGGTTTTCAGTCTTTGGGGGTTTCCATGCTGAGCTCGAGGACAACAAGGAGGAGATGGAGGATTTATTGAGACCTTACCTGACGCCGAAGTGTTGTAGCATCGACCACGGTCATGTCGTCTTGCCCCACGTCCATCGAGGCTTCAAATGATGTCAATGCGAGCCTGGAAAAGAGAACAGTCACTTTGAGAAAAGCACAACTCCCTCACTTCATTCATAGTGTATTATTGAGACGGCAAAATGTATGATTATCTATCGCTGAAGTCGACCACAACAACATCATTTAAATAGAAGTTTTTTTGTTTTTTTTCAAGCAAGGCTTTCTTTCTCGACCCGAAGTGAGAATGGCAGAAGGAAAAGGATAAGGAAACGGACAAAGGACCAGAATGAAAATAGCCAGGTGAGGTTACCTGGATTCATGCAGGGGGTTGGAGCCTGATGCTGACCCCCCTCGCAGTGATGGTTTGCTACAGAGGTGAGGAAAGACAGGGTGGGGAGAAGGGGGAAAAATAAGAAAGATAGAGAAATGTAGATGGAACAGTGTTGCATACATGCACACACATCGCATATTTTTGGCAGAACTACACCTTGAAGAAACCAACACGCTAACATGTCTGGGACGTCAGAGTCAGGTGCTGGTTACATGGTTAGCAAAAGACCTCAATAACAGTACTAGTAATGGCCTACCTGAGTTTGGAAAGGTATAATAGCCAAACAGAAAAAGTATGAAACTTTTTGAACATTATGCTGAGTTAATATTGTTACTGAATATTAAAAACAGTTAAGTTAGAAAATGGTTATGCATTGCCTCCTGAGTGTACCACACAAACTCTCCAAACTCTTCCAACACCATTAAGAGCCACTAAACTTTTCAAGAAGACCAGCCAACAGGGTGTTTAGTATTTGTAATGTTACTATGAACAAAGACATCCGACACAGCTCTCCCTGACCAGTAGCTCAGACAGTGAAGATCTTTTTTTTTTTTTTTGTTAAAAAAAAAAAAAAAAAAAAATCAAATCAAGCCAGACGATTGGAAGGTCACCTGCGAGGGTTCTCATCCAAGACCTCCAGGACCTGCTGATAGGCCCGACGTGTCGTGGACTGGATGAAAGATAGAACACCGCTAGCGCTGTAAAGGTTGTGTTCTTCTTCAGTCACGGTGAGAGGGGGGCAGGGGCGGACTGTGGCAGGGGGGGACGGGGTCGCACTGCTCAGTGCCCACCATAAAGAGCAGTCAATTCAGAGAAAAAAGGGAAGAAAGGATAAAAGAGGAAAGAAAGAGGGGAGGACGGGGTGGGGAGAGAAATAAGGAAAAGGAACTGTCCTTAACTTTTCTGCTTTTGTTATACATTGCAAGTTATAATAGCCCAAGATTTGAACTTCCCTCCCCCAGAAAGAAAAAAAAACAGAAAGGAGATATGAACTAAAGGCATTGCAATGCAAATGATTCCAACCTGGAACAGATTACTCAAACAGATCTGTGAACAAGATCAGTCTGTTTTGTCACATGCACTTTTATTGAGGGAGGTGGTCAGGACAAGGAAAGACAGAAGAGCTTTTGTTTCTATAAAACTGCTTTACTGCATATGTGTCCCACTCTGATTCTATTTTCTACTTTCAAAGTAACAGAGAAGAATTCCAAAAACAAACATGTATACTTCATGTATTAATAACTTTATATAAAAATGTATTACATTTACATTATGAGCCTCTGTGTTACAATTTTCCTTGAACGGTTAACGATTGTGTTTTGTGTGGTCAATGAGTGTGTTTATACTTATACTAAAGATCCATTTCCAGTTATCTTAAGATCCTGATAATGACGATCAAATCTAACGATGAGTGCATCACAGGTTTAAAATCACAGTGTTAATGGATGAGTGTCATCAGTAAAAACCGCTCAATTCTCAATTAGCGCTGAAAGCAGAGAATGTTCGTGCAACAAAACGGCTAACAAGGTCACAGCAAACCAATCACACGCAAGCGCCACAAAGACAAAGGGAACGGAAGAAAACACGGAACCAAAAGAAAGATGCAACATGCTCGTGCATGCGGGGACAAGATGGAGCTAGTACCATGGTAACGGTGGCATATCAATACTCACGCTGAATCGTTGTGCACCAGCTGATTGTTCTGACGAGCAGCATTCTCACTGGCTGAACGTTCTCGCCGTAATCTTCCCTGTGGTCGCAACTACAACGAAAAATAACAACGTTTATTCAGGCTTTGGTTTGCTGTTAGACAAGAATGACTTGATTCAATGGAGACTCCTCAGTGATGGACGAACACTGATTTATTACTTACCCCCTCCTCGCTTTCTTGAGCCGACCGATGCTCCTCTTCCATGAAATCCAAGGGCTGCTCACTGAGGGTGAGGACTCTGGGCGGGGTCTTCAGTGAAAGGGTCTCTAGTGGTGTTGACTGGATGAGGTCCAGGTCTCTGGGTCTGGAGAACTGGGGGTCACTGTCTCCTATCAGTGGAAGGTGTGAATTGAAGTTTTAAGTAACGGGTTTAAGTAATTTAACTCCACTCAAAAATAACATACTGTGAAAGTACAAGTCTAAGAAATTACTTCAGTCTTCATGCTCTACATGTATCTGAAACGCTGCACTGAGACTGAATAAAACCAGTCTTGTGACATGACACAAACACTAATCAGGACATTGGTGGACAAAGTCCAGAACTAGTGATAGAAGCATATCATCTATAAACTGCAAAGTCTAATAAAAGACAAAATAGTAAACACAGACACTACTTTTCAAGAATAATTCAAAGAATACTGACCTGAAATCACAATTCTCTCTGGGACTTGCATCATCACACTGTTGGAGACATCCTGAAATCCAACATTAGGATCGCCGTGGCCTTGAGGAGCAACTTTAAGCATCTCAGGAATGCGCATCCTCTGGCTGATGCCCTCGGTGTACTCCAGCTCATACTGGATACGGTTCATTTCAGCCATCTCGGCCGTGGGGGAAGGGAACGCTGCTCCGTTCATTTGGCTGTGTGGAATGATTTGTTCAGAAACACAAAGCTAATTGTTAGTCCAAAAAAAAAAAGGTCAGCAAGGGCAGAAGCATGACAACATGAAAGATTCCTGTGTGATCTAAATTTCATTTTCGGTTCCAGTCGAACATGTTTCTCTGCTTACCTGCTGACACACCTAATAAGGCTGCATCTACTTATAGACATACAAAATACATTATCTTTAGGATCTGATCAGTGAATGAACAGAGGGCAGGAGCTGGAAAGATTCACGTGACACTATCATGTGATGATAACTTAATATATCCTGACTTAAAGGCGAAAGAAATGAGTGTTTCAGATCAGCATTACAACATATTTCTTGATCACTATAACAGACTAATAGACTTAATGATAATATCGTCAGGTAAGCTAATGGGGTTACAGCAGGTATTACACTACTTATTCTAAAGAAACAATCACCAGTGTTTGCAGTGGTCAGACAGTAATCCAGCAATCTACTGCTGTCTATTTAAGTAACCTTTATAAGATCTAATTAAAACCCTAAAGCTTTAAGGTTAGTACGGGTTAGTCAGCTAGACAACGCATTAGCGCCATTTCCAGCTAACATTTTCGTCAGCGCGTTAGTTTCGCTTTCTTACCGTTTTGTTTGTGGCTAATAAAAGCTTCTTATCCAAAGAACAGATTACAGAATACCAAAGAACACGGAAAAGTCTAAACATTCATCCAAAAGCACAAACAAGTGTAGGTTTGACAGATGATGTAGCTGTTGGGCATCTTCTTGTGTTGATACGAGAGGGGAAGCTCCTCTCTTCTTCCGCTTTCCCGAACTAACCGGAAGTGAGGTACCTACGCTTGAGAGGAAGTGACGAAACGTGCACCTAGCGCTTAAATTAAATGTAGGTCTTTGAGTTACTGTTCCTGAGAGTTACTTACAATTGCATACAACTCATCGTTTTCTGTCCTTTTTTTTTTTTTTTTGCAGCTGTGGCTCTTCAATGTTATGATGGAAATATCTAATGTGGTTTCAATCTACTATATTTTTGGGGTTAAATTATTCGTTATTAAAATGTCCTAGAATTAAGTATGCACGTTGGAAATGCATCCATTTAGGTCTATACAAAAGCAATGTAGTATATGCAATAACATTGACTACTTCCATGTCCTCGGATTTATTTGTCAGTGTAGTACTAGTGCCTATATGAGCTGCATTTTACTTAAAGAGTTTTATTACATTTCTTATTTGCTTAAACTTAGTCTCGTTTTCATTGTCAAAGGGGACAGAGTTGAATTCTGAATACGGTTAAGTGATATAAGAAAAAGTTTGGGCGAGTTTTTATAATACACAGTAGCCTATGTCAGGGCAGTATGTGTCTATTTAGTATAAAAGGGGTAACTAGCCTATGTAAAAGGCTGGGTTGGGGGGGGGGGGCGGCCTCAGTGACTGTGGGTGGTGCGTTAACCCTGAGTCACTCGACTGCGATTGACGTGAGACAAGCCCTCACTCTGCTTATTCAGTGTACGGTAAATAACGTCTTGAGCTCGACAGATAATAATACAAGGAAAGCTTCAACTTCTCTGTCATGTCTTAAGCTGGACTTTTCATAAATATCAGGATGCTCTTCATTTGATGGACACAGACCCAGCGCCGACTGAATACTTCTCTCCGGGTCTATGGCTGAAATTATGGTCCAAAGTATTCTCTGTGTGATATTTCTCAGCACGTTGCACATGGCATCATCTTTGGAGCTTCAACTTGGCATGTAAGTGACGTGTTATATTTTAATTTGTGTTGTTAATTGCCTCTTATCTGACTTTTGTAAATTATCCTAAGAAGTAAAACTATATAGGCCTATGTATAGGGTGCTATTAATAAAACTGAAACAACCGGCCTTAAAAACGTTGACTTTGCCTCTTGACTTTGATCGAGGATACAGCCCAGGTTTTTCAAATGATAAACGTTTGCTTTTGTCTGCAAACTGTGTAGTTTACTCTGTTAAATATCCACTAGGAGTCGCTCTTTCGATCTCCATTGAGGATGGATGTGTTTTATAGCACTGCAATAACGTGCTTCTGCATAATAGCTTTCAGTGGAATGTGATTTGTTTTGTGGCTTCAGTAGTAGGCATACTCTGCCAGGGGTTTCTAAATGTATATAAACTGGCCGGACTCGAGTAAAGGAATCGTGTTCATTACCAGAAGAGCAGAATACTTCCCCTAATTAACTTGTGACTGGTCTGTATTGAAGCCAGATGGTTTATTTATGGAGCAGGACACCTCCAATATAGGAAACCTGAAATGACAGCATAGATTTCTGTACGGAAAAAAACAAAACCTCTTTGTTTTAATGAATGTGTACACCCTGCATGCATGCACAAACAATCATTGGAAAAGTAATTTCTTCTTTGAAATTACTGCATTGGTTCCCAACCTGGGGTCTGGGTCCCTCCAGGAGGGGTACTTGAGGCTCTGTCTGCTTTGAAGTTGTCCAAGATTTTATAAAATCATATTAAAACATAACTGGGAGATATATACACATGTCTTTTGCTGCAGTAAGAACTAGTGTGTAGGCATATTCTGATCTAATTTTATCAATGAAAACTATTCAAATTCATGTTCATTTTTGAAAGCAATGCATCACTCCTGTGGATTCTGGGGGGGACTCAGCTTTTTGTACTTCTAAAAGGAAGGGCCCCCAAGAAAACAAGATTGTTTACCACTGGTTTATTGCATACCATAGGGGGTGTTAAAACAGGATTTTTTTTTCTGGACCTTAATCATGCATAATTGTTTGACAGTGTGTGATGAGCATGAACATGTGTAGAACATACGTTGAAATACATGAGCTCTGCAGGAGAATTAGACCACCTACAGCCAACTTCTTAACACATGAACCTTTAGCATTCATTGTACAGCAATGGAAATGAAGGACTGAAAAGCTTGGCATTGTTACTTTATAGCCTATATTGTTCCGTAGTGTTCTTCACTGGATTGATTGCTGTCTCAAACAAGGTTTAAGATTTTTTCTGTCCATCTTTTTGTTATTTATGTGTTTTCCATGCACAGGCCAAATGTCTGTGCTGACCAGGAGTTGTCCATGTTGGGTAACCGTCAGCCTTGTGTCCAGGCTTTTACCCGCATAGTAAAAGTCTGGAAACAGGGCTGCAACAGCCACAGTTGGTGTATGGGCTATGAGAGAAGGTAAGAGCAAAAATGCTTTGACAACGCATGCTTCATTACTGACCATTCTATTAGTGCATTTAGATGGTTAATGTTTTGTATTTGAACAGTGTTTTACTCACACTGTTCAAATGCATTAGCCTCAGGGTTTGTCTTGGAGAAGTGTCTTTTGTTTTTTTTGCATGCTATATGCTCTTTTATAATCACTGGAGCTAGAAAGATCATTCTAAATACACTAAAAAGGACACATAACAAGACTGATGAAGTGAGGTTTGGATATTTAGACCCTTTTGAATAGCGCAGATATACTTAGGCCATGTTGTAATCCTTGATATATCAATTAAACGATATCACATGAGAGAGTGCTGTTGTACTGAATATCAGCACAGCTACAGCTGAGTGCAGAATATATGTAAGGTTCATGTTTTTAAGTCTTTGATGTGAAAGACAGAAAACAACTCAAATGGAAAAAAAATATGTAATTATAACACAGTTTCTCCCCCCCAGGACAGCATACTACACAGTGTACAGGCAGGTGTACAGCATGGATATGCACACCATTTCTAAGTGCTGCCCAGGCTGGACTCAGAAGGGTGAAGAGTCAGGCTGCCTGCATAGTGAGTAATGGCATTTCTTAGGGCTAGTACAATTACTTAAACATCACTTAATGTGTATTGCATAGGCATGACTGTAGCAAGCCTTCCTATTAGATGGAGAACTCCATGAACCATTCAGTGTTGCATTGTGGAGTATGATATGTTGTTTCTGCAGGAGTGTGTGGTGCCAATACATGTTTCAATGGAGGCCAATGTGCAGAGACTGGAGACCAGATATGTCATTGTCCACTGGGCTTTAAAGGGACCCGGTGCCAATATGGTGAGTTTTAATTCCTATATGATAAAGGAGATGGTCATGCTATTAAACCTGTGTACGCCATTGCTTGCATTGCAGACTTAAATGTCGAGTAAACAGTGCAAGCTGAGTCAATTTTTTCTCTTAATGTATCGTATTCAAGGCATTTCCGGGTATGCAAAAGTCATGCACAAATGATACCTTCAAATGCAACCCAGTGCACCTTGTAGAGTCAGTGAACATACACCTTCAGAGGACAACATGTTGTTAAATCTTAAATAGGCCTAGTTCAAACCTTATGCTTTGACTTTGCAGGAGCAGACTGTGCCGGTAGTGTTGCTTTGATTGGAGGAGGCTTTTCTGTGGGGGTTTCTGGGTAGTTAAAGGTAGAAGACGTGCTCGCAGGGAGGAATGATTTCCTTTGAAGGCTAGTGCCTGGAGTGCTGTGGCTAAACCAACCAACACTCCACTCTATTAAAACTGAATATTAATGAGTGTATCTGTAGTTCAAGCCTTGAACAAGGTTGTCACGTGGGAAAAATATTTCACTGAGGAATAGTTAAATATTTCTTAACATATATATACATACATATATATATATATATAACATTAATATACACTAGCTTACTCCATAATTTGCTGTTACAAGACACTTAAAGGAATGGGTCAACTTTATTGGAATATGTGGGCTTGCACTGTGGCTAATTATAAAGCTAAAGCTAGCACACTCTTAGCTTAGCTTAGCAAAAGGAATAGAAACAGGGTAACAGCTTGCCCAGCTCTGTTGAAATGTGACGAAACCCACTTAACAGACCTAAAGCTCACCAACAAAGACAGGATATGTCATGTGTCAAAATATACAAACACTTAGTGTAAAAATAGCTCAAGGTGCCGGTAAGGGATATTGTTATCTTTGGATAAAGCTAGCGTTTTGTTTCCTTTTGTTTATATGAGCTAAGCTAACTGGCCGGTATCAAGGTGGTGTTCTCATCTAACACTCTTCTTTAAGGCAAGAGTAAATATCCCAATTATAGTTATTTTAAATTATGCCTACCAAATTATATTTCTATAAAATCATAAATGAAATATATGAACGTTTAGCTTTCCAACCTGAGTAGAAAATATACAAAAAGTCTTTATTAAGAACTTGGGGACTTCTTTTAGGACAAAACAAAAAGGAAAAAAAAAAACAGCAAAACTAAACAGTGTTGACACTCAGAGCAGTAACCCAGGATCTGTCATTTCTAAATGGTAAACATTTACAGTAAGCTTGTACAAAAGCTTCTTGTTCCTCTTGTCTCTAAGCGTTATCCTGTTACAGTCAGTGTCTGTTCTTTCTACTGTCAAACCTCATGCAAACAGCACAATGTTTGTTAGTGTTTTGGAAAGTCCTGCTGGGACAGAGAGGAGAACAGAGGATATTTGGTTCATACCCCCCACATGCTCGCAAACACACAAACACACACGCTGCAGTGGCTTTCCTGTTTGATTCCTTGGCTCTCGAGAGGGGGCCTGCCTGCCAGGGGCCTTAAACAGTCCCTCCTCTTGCTTAGACATTTCACAGAAACGTGTCATTGTTTATAGGTGTGTTTGTTTTGACATGGGCTCTTTGTTTTTCACACATCACAGTTACAGATTGGAAACGGATAGAACCACGAGCTGTAATCTGAAATTGTTCCTGCTTTCTCTTTGTCCTCATGCACATCCTGTCCTTCGATTCTCCTCAGTGAGGTCTACTCATGAGATTTTCTCTTGCTCCTCTCCTTTTGTAAAGTGTTTTCCCTTCTTGTATCTCCTGAGACAGATATTTCCTCACTTGTCTGCCAGAATCATTATAAAAGGAAAGAGTCTGCCAAGTTCTTAGTTCAGCCAGGTGCCTTCACTGAACCAGTGCTCAGTGCAGAATCATATACACCAATAATCCGCTTTTATAAGAGTTTGAGCCCAGGGGTTCAGGTGTTTAAACGGAATCAATACACATTTTATGTTTCCTCTCAAACAAATGCAGTTTTTAGTGGGATATTTTGTTACATACATTTTTAAATGCTACCACTAAGACACTATGTCATCGCTTTTATTGTTGCATAGAGGCAACTGATGCTAAGCATAATAAAACACCAGCATAATACAATTTTATCTAAGGCTTTATAGTATTTCAGTGTTATTTATTTAGGAGTAAACATGTTGGGGCTACTTCCGTGACTGCTAAAATAATGACATAAATAAAAGTGTCTGCAGAATTGCAGAAAAGTCATCCACTAAAAAGATGACATGATGGAAAAAGTCATCTCCCATCTACTTAGGTTGTTTCTTTTTTCATTTTTGAACACAAAGAGTCAAGTAATGTCAAGTAATGAAAACTAGCGTTAGGAAATGTGAAAATTTAAGAGTAAAAGACCTTGTAACAGCTAAGTATGCAATCTCTGAACAGCTCCCACAACAATATCGTTCTACAACCAGAAATCAGAACTCTTCTGATACCAAAATCTGCTCCCGAGCTTACAGAATCTGGCGGTGCCAGGTAGCCTATAGTCATTATGTCCCGTGTACAGGGGCTGCAGTCCTCGTCGCAGCGATCTCAGGTTCAAATCCGACCTTTGATGCAGGTCATCCCCTCACTCTCTCCTCCCAACATTTCCTGTCTCTCACAAAAAGGCCAAAAATATATTTATAAAATGCAGAATCTTTAAAAAGAGATAAGGGGCTGAATACTATCAATTAATGTGAAAAGACTGAGAGACAAATATTGAGTTAAATGCACTTATGACAGACAATAACATAAAAACAAAATGCATCTCATAGAAGAAGGCACCCATACATATATTTTTCAACATAAAACATTTTCCATTCTCTGCATTGCTTTTACTCATTGTTTTTTTTGTATATATCTATATATCTATATATAAAGTATATACAGTATATAATTATATCTTACAATATTTCCTACTGCTTGATGTGTATACAAGCAACTGTAACAAGCGCTGAATCTTATGGCTGTTTTCCTTTTTAAGTGCTGATCATGGTTCTATTTTGTTTTTATTCCTGTTTGTTGTATTTCAAAGTCAAGCCCATCTGTGCCTCTCTGGTTCACACTCTAAGCACGGACAAAAGGAGAGTTTTCTTCCTCTTCTTTTGGTGTTGACCGCTAACTGGCTAACTGACTTGGAGGTGCATTACTGCCTCCAGCTGGACTAAAGAGGAACAAGTGGAATACAACTCAACATCTGGCTTCAAACTATAAAAGAACGTCTCCCAAGTGCATCTCAATTTGATTCTTTCTTACCAAATAACCACTGAAATAAATCCAATTGTTTGCAAACCTAGCTCACTATCAGCAAGTGCAGGAAGCTCCCTGCTTGTGCCTTATGGATTTCATGTAGGTACAGCTGATTCTAGCATTACATTACATCACTGACGGAGACATCTGTATCTCATCCTGAGAACCTGGATCATACCTTTCTGTCTGTGCACTCGGACCAACCAATGTCACAAGGGAAAACTGTTCATTATCAGATTCTCTTTGTGAGCTTAAACATTCCACAATGACAGTCTTACTGTCCTACATTATGTTAGAAGATGGACAAAAAACAGATATGGTCGACAAAGGTAGGAATGTGGACCTCTGTGGATTTATCTTGGAGTATTAATATGTTTTAGGAAACTAGACCTGATGGTTGGTTATGAAGATGTTTCACAAGGCTTCTTCAGATTTACTACATGCTGTTTCCTCCTTCCCCATGTGTTTTTAATACTACTGTATGTAATCCCTGTCGTATGGTAGTGTGTAAGTGTTTGGCATCTCTGTCTCTTTTTTTTCTGTCCTGGCTGATTGATTTTTTGGGGTGTTGGTCCATCTGCAGATCAACTTGTCTTTTAGTTTTCACACTGCATCTCTGTTGAAGCCTGAGGCAGAGCTTGCAAGCGGCTGTTTCATGGCAGAGATTAGTCAGTCTTTCAGTGATTCCTCAAAAGAATTATTCAGCTGTATCCCAGTTCATTCAACTAGAGTTTACCCCTTTTAAAAATCATAAGCAAAACACGTAAATGTATGTTTAAGCGTAGAGGTGTGCTTGTGTGTCTGGTGTGTGAGAGTTTGGATTTGAAGGAGGTTTCTTGCGGTCACAATTCCTCACACTATTTTCACTCGTCAGGTCGGCAAAGCAGCTTTTCAGTGTGATGTAGCTTATTGTGTGGTTTATAGCCAACAATCATATGAATGTAGAATTTATGCTAATACTGTACCAAATACCTATAGGCAGCTAGTGGGATAAATATCTGTCTGAGTAGGTTCAGGAGTCAAAAACTGAACCAAACTGAAACTGAATATTGCACATTGCAAGGTGACGGTGGGGTATTTGATTGGATGCACAAACATTACTAACATATGATCGGTAAAGAACATATTTGAAGCAGAAAAGAAGCAGCTTTACTATGTGCACAACAATTGCACCTGTTGCATGATTTAGATGTCATCACCCTAGCATGCTTGTTCAGGTGAAATAACCTGCAGCTGAATAATACCTGCTGCGTTCAGACAAGGGAGCTGGAAGGAAAAAAAATCAGGATATCGTTGGGTTGAAAGTGTGGCTGTTTGCATTCACAAATGCAGCTCACCCAAAGAATGTTTGATATTTTATAGGCGTTTTTTTGCATGTGTCAAAATACCATTATGTGTCAACCCTGTGACTGACTGGCAACCTGTCCAGGGTATACCCCGCACCTGTCACCCATTGGTAGAATAAGCAGTATGGATACTGAAAATTTAAATTTGTCTTGCATCACAGCAGCTCCACTTGCAACATAATAATGAAAGACAAGATAGGTATAAAGAGACAAAGATTTCATACAACATTCAAACACCAACAAATATGCAGACGCCTTCAAAGTGCTCTGATCTGCGCTTTGACCAATGCTAACTTGGTAGTGTACTCTGACATCAGGCGCTACAATTTACAAGCATATTTGCTGGATTTATATCCAAGCAAACAGTTCATCATAACAACCTAAAATGTGATATCACTGTT